CTGGAAGCTGGAGCTGGGTACATCCAGTCCAGAGAAACAGGGCATGTGTCTTATCATGTGTGGTCTAGTGTGGATTATCTATTTTGGGCAGATGTTTACATAAAAGGCTGTGCCGTTTTCTGAAAAGATTATTTTCGGATAGGAGCGAACTCAAGGAAGTCTGTGGCCTGTGCCTTTCAGAAAGGTTGATCATTTCATATGGTCTGATTGCAAGGTTCACACGTCAGAAGGTAGGAAACCTATGCCTTAAAAATAATGGCAGCTAAGTTGGACATACTTCTGGCAAAACACAATTTGTTTCCAATAAAATGCTGCATAGTGAGTGTTTTATGGAAGCTTTTAATGTGTATGGTAGGGAAATAGTATTCAAGCTAACATGTGATCATTTAAATCTTTTTTTCCCCAAATAAAGTGTACCCACTTTGAAATCTTTGAGAATGATAATCCAAATGATAGTTTGACATTGTAATAGAATAAAGGATAAATTAAGGATAAGTATTTTGTTACCTTACTCCTTTGAGATACTTGATTACTTCAGAGAATCCAATTATTGGAAAACAGTGTACTTTATTCAAAAGCCTCAACAAAATAATTGGATTTTGTGTGGCTGAATATCGGCATATTACTATTGATTCTGACTTAATTGACACTTTTTCTCCAAACAAGTGAAAGTCTGTGTGAAAAGTGCAGTGTCAGGGGAAGCATAAGCTGTAATAATATAACTTGGAAAGGCTTGAGTACTGCTGTCTTATTTGTCTTTCACTTTCAAAATGCACCTTGTTGTCATGAGTTAAAAAAGTACTTCTGGTCTGGAAAATGTGATGGTGAAATAAGAACTTTATAATAAACCTCAACAAGGGAGTAATATTTAAAGATGGATGCTGAGCTTGTCACTTGGTGCTTTGGAGAGTTTAATCCTCCAGCCTTAACCTTCTTAAAATAGCTTAGATAACTTTCTAGACTTAAAAAAAAAAAGGCATCATCCAGGGCTGTGAGCTGTCCTTGTGTGTCTAAGGCTTATGTGGAAGCAAGGAAAGCCACGGGAATCGTCTCCCTTCACTGTGCCGTCTGTTTGAGGGCAAGGACGTGGTAAAACTATCCAAAAGGGTGTGTGTATGGAACACTGACACAGGTTACCACTATATCCTGTTCTTTCCAGTTGGGTCAGTGTCCAATTTTTGAAACCTGCCAGGCTGAGCTGTTGTTTTCACTCCTTTTTCCCCACTTGTTCCGAGATGGGCAATGTAACGGAAAAGTCGGAAGGGAGAGATGAGGAAAAGAAGGACTAAAAATAAAGTGCAGATGATCCCTGGTATCTAAAGAGCCTGACAGGATGAATTCATGTGGTGCTAAAGATGACTAACTAATGATACAGTCTTGTTTGTCTGAGCTATTACAAAAAATTCTTTAAGTACCCAAATATAAGATGGAAGCAAATGTTGCAGAACCGTAAGTTGACTAAATGGTGATGAAGGTTCAATAAATGGCCTCTGAATTCATATTTTCTTTATTAGGTATTGCTGGTCTGTATTTTCTATTTAATTTTTCATTGGTTATTAGCTTCCCATGTGTCATTTCTCTGTAGTGCTGTAGTTTTTGTTTTTGTTGGAAGACTTTAATTCTCTTGTGCTAAGTGCTTTTTCTGGAGCTGTGGTAGAAAACCTTTGGCTTAAATTTGCCTCTTCCTTCAGATTTGTCCTGGATTTTATTTTCTAAATCTGCTTCTGTTGTAATCCCTTTTGATAGTTTCTTCTTTGTTCATTCTACTTAAATATTATTAGACCCAAAGTCTTGCCTGCACTACTGCATTTATGAACAAAATGTGGCTGCGCTGTGATTCTGTTGCAGTGACTCTTCAATCTTCGAAAATACCCAATTTCTTTTAAAGTATTTTCCATGGATGAGAAGTTATTGTGCATATGCTAAATGCTGAGATTTTTTCCCCCAATATAATATTATTTTTGCATGCTGGGAAGGTGCATTCATGGGTTGTGAATGGAAATGGCACTTGTCTCAGCATTTTGTAAGCATGGGAAGCATCCCCAGAAGGGTCCTTTTCTTGACTCTGGAGTGATATCAGACTGTATAATCTGTTTTCCACTGTAGGACAGGTTTTATTACTCTTCATGTAAGCTGGATTTCTGCAGTTGAACATTTTCCAGCATGGGGCAGGCCCACAGAATGTATGACATGAAAATAATTAGCCCTGCTTTTGCCATGGGCTCGGGTCATCCTCTGAGTTACTGTGCAGCATCTGCTGAAAGTTCACTGCAAACATGCCTTAATTGCAACCTGGGACTGGCAGATCACGATCTCCCCATCTGGGATCCAGAGGCACCAGGCTGGAAAGCCCTCAGAAGGAACTGAGACGGGCTGGGAAGAGCTGCTCTTGGAATCTAATAAAATGGGCTGTGCTCAGGGATAACTTTCAAAACCCCCAGTCTATTGATGTTTTGTAAGGTACCTAAGATATAGTGAAGGGGCCCCTGGTGGTCTAGTGGTTAGGGTGCAGGACTCTCACCGCTGTGACCCGGGTTCGATTCCCAGCCCCCCGGGCAGATGGAGCTCGTCAGCCCTGTAAGGCAATCCATCTAAGAGAAGGTCACTCTAAACAAACCTACGTCCTGGGGACCTCACTGCCACTGTCCAAGTTTGCTCGGCCCCGGCAGATGAACCTCAGGATTAAAGGGTGGGCTCAGTTCAGCGCACGCTGGGTCTCACCTAAAAAATCCACTGCGCAGGCTCGAAGGGTTAATGACCTTTCCCAAATCTTCGCTCGCGAAGACTGGCCATTATTATTATTATTATTATTATTATAAGATATAGTGAGTGATCTTAAACGGTTGTGGGGGTGGGTTTTTTCTTCTTTCCTGACATCCTTCACTTCTGAAGTGACAGCTCATGCACATTGCTGAGAAGGAAAACTTGGTGGCTTTCAGTGCAAAAGCACACACTAAATCCTCCTGAACCTCCAGCACACAAACGGCCTTTTCCAAATAATGTCAGGTGTTAGTTGTGGTGAACTTTGGCATCATGCAAAACTTGATCAGACCCTGATGTTTAATTGGGGCACAGAGCACTTCAGAGGTGAAGCAATTATGCTTGGAACTAGAATTTTTTTACAGACAACTCTTCAATGGTTGTACCTTTCATCTCTGAGAGTAGAAACTATAATGGCTACGTGCAGTGTTTGGACCCAGTTCTTTTGAATTTGAACTTCTGAACCTGGTTTTTAATAAATGGAGGTACTTTCCAGTTCCAAGGAGGATAAAATGCTTCTGAGTTTCTTAAAGTTTGATTTGTACCTAACATCCGTTTTGGAAATGGAGCAGGAATTGGTACATAAGTAAAAATAACCAGGATTCGTTTATGAAGGTCCTGTGTTTGGGTAGCTTGGCAAAAGTCATAAGGCGTGAACATGTTCCCTCTTAAAGGTTAAGTCCTTGCTGCTTTAAGAAATCCCTTTGGCGACTGAACACCCCAGTCATGGGATTCTTTGTGTTGTTTCCTTCCTGAAATGGAAGTGGATTGCTAAGAACTATATTACTCATGGTTGAGAGAACCACTGAAGACCAAAATTATGTGAATATTAAAGAATTTTGAGGGAGGAAAGTGTTGACAGAGTTTCTGTGTTGAGCTGAGGGAAGATCCTGTAGCACTCCCCAAATTAAGCAGTGAGAATTCTTTCTCAGGGCTTCCTTACTGGAGAGACCCCATATAGAGAACCAGTGCTGAAAGAACCTGCATGCACTTGCACTTTTTCTTGCTGCTGAGGGACTGTTCTATTAGAGGCAAAAAACTGCCTGGGAGAGGTTTTTCCAGTGTGCTTTCCATGTAGCTTATTATAGCCGTGTCTTCCGTGGCTTATTTTGAAGGGAAGAAAAAGCTTACGAGGCTGATGGTAATTCTTTCCCTGGGGATGGTGGTTGTGTGAACCCTCACAAGACCCTAAAAACAGAGGAAAATTCACTGGCTCAGGTCCCTGAAGTTGTATGAGCAGGAATTTGCCTTCCATGTCCAAAGAGCTGACTCTTCAGTCTACAATGCCAGTGTTCTCCTGCCTTTCTAATCACAAGTCTCTTGTTTGCCTTACTGACTTCCCTCTTTGTAACAGCAGTCATTTGCTGAACAATCCCCCTTTTTTCTTCAGCTTTCATCTTATTTTAACTATGACATCTTGATTTTTACTTATTGAAAGAATTACTTTTAAACTATTCCTCCAGTGCATTGTGGCTCCTGAAAGGAGCCTACAGACATTCTAAGAAGAATCATTTAAATAAAGCCGTTGCATAGTGCTTACTTATCCTCCCCCAATGAAATAACCTTTGAAAAATTTTGCCCTGACTCGTGTATTAATTTTTTCTTTGTTGCTTTTTGTGCTCGACTTGTCAAGAATTTGATGATCTGTTGATGTGAAGATGCACATCAGGGATTGGTGAACTGATTCTGATCAGTAAACATACTGATTAGTGTAATTGCATACTAATAGTGTTTAGGTTGTCACGAAGAGTAGTACATTTTTCCTGTCTTAAGACTTGCTGGGAAAGGGATGCGGGTGGTTAAAAAATGGAGGTTGTGCAGCCTTGTTTTCCAAAGGTTATCGCTGTACCTGCTCGTGAACTCAGCGAAAGGTGAATTCATTTTAAATATTAATCCAGCCAGACTTTACAGGGACAAATCAAGCGTCCCCTGGAACTCGCAGGGGTTTGTCTGTCTGGAGCGATCAGGAACGCAACTGGAGATGTGGCAGGGGAAAGTTAGCGATAACCCTTCGAGCCGCGGTGGTTGCTGCCGGAGCCCGGCGAGCCGGCAGGACCAGAAATAGCTCCGCAGATGGTCCCTGGCGCGGTACCCGAGCAGCTCCCGCCGCTCCCGCTCTTCCCACCCTGCCTGTCAGCGCCGGTGCCCAATGGCTGCGGACGGATGGGGATGGCGAGCCGGGATTCGGCTCGCAGGAGGCGGCGGGGTCAGACGTCAGCCGTGCACTACGCATGGCTGAGTCAGGGACTGCGAGAGACTGAATCGAATTAATATCCACGGGGCTTGGCAGCTCCGAGCACTTAATGGACTGCACAGACACAGTTTCTTATCCGGGAGGGGAAGGATGATGGAGGAGAAAGTGAGGCTCGCTGATGGTGCAGGGGACTACTGAAGAAACGATGGAGATGCCAAATATGCTGAACTTAACAAGTAATGCCAAAGGATGCTGATCTGGCTTTCAAAGCTGCCTTATTGGAAGGAACAGAATTCCTTTGTGCTCTGATCCCGAAATTATTTCCATGCTTTTGTGTTTCTTCCCTGATAGACACAAGAGGAAGGTGCGTATCTGTTAAGAGGAATGAGCTGTGGGCATTATTCAGGAGAAGAATGAGGAAAAGGAAGAGTGCTGTCCTTTGTGTGCACAGGTCAATTGAAATGTCGTCTGCTGACAAAGAACAGACTTCAGGGGGAGGAAGAGGGGCATAAGCCTTGTCGTTGTGTAAGTCCTGGCAGGATGAGCAGAACAGATTCCTCCCAAAGCCTTAGAGCGTGGTATCTGTAACTTATTGTGTAGATAAAGCTCTACATCCTGATTCTACAAGTGTCGATTATGTGAATCATTCTAGGAAAGGATTGGATATGAGTTTATATTTTAAGAAGAGTTAATCTAAGTTTTAGAAGATAGACAGGGGTGAAAAGGATGAAAACCTTGGTTAATTATTGCACTGCTGTGTCCATTTATTTAAGGTTTCAGGGTGGTTTTTGGGGAAATAGGGATGTTGGTTTAGCACCATAATTTTGTGTGGACAAGAACTGGTTTTATAAAACATCTATGTTTATTTGGTGGTATTCAGTAGGATGCACATGGAGTTTTTGTATTGAAATACATGCTAATTGTTTTGGCAGTAGAATTAATTCAGTTTAATGACTTCTTTTAATAATTAGTAATATATTCAGAGCAATATGTTGTTATGCATAAAGACAAACTGAAGCTCTCCTTCCACAGATGACTCCAAAGCATCATTAAATTGAAGAGCATTTACATTTTTTAAAAACAGCTCTTTCCTTACTACAAAAATAGGAAGCATTACCAGTATGACAAGTGTGCCATTTTGATGGTACTTTTTCTTTTCCTCCTTCACATCATATTAAATAGATTTGCTTAAATAAAACCTTGAGCTTATTTGGTTTTCTTCATAAGGCAGCTGCTTTTATAGAAAATGTCTCATCCTTTACAAAGGCAGAGCTTCCTTCAGCCCTGACTGAGGGGGAAAATGAATTCAATCACCGACTTGAAGTTCTTGAATGGGTGCAGTGCTCATGTTCCAGTGTTTCTTTGGAGCCAGGAAAAACTGTGTATTGAATTTGTGGAGATCTGCCTGAATATACAAATATTCATGGGGTTTTCTGGTTGTTTTAGTTTGGGTTTGGGTTGTGTTTTGCTTTGTTTTCCCCTGTAGGGAAGTAATTGATAAAACAATGCTCCTCCATTTATAAACTTTTGGGTACAAGGTGGTCTTACATATACGGTGCTTTTTCCAACTTTAATGAATGAGGCTGTGGGTTTAAAATGTTGGTTTGGTGTTTTTTGGGTTTTTTTTACTCTCTTATGCTTTAAAATTAAATTAAAATATGTCATTAAGCACGCAGGAGAAAATCTTGCTTACAGGCTGGTGCTGCCCATGGCTCACCCAGCACAGTGTGCAGCTGGTGGTCAATTAATTGAGAGTTGATTTTGCAGCTACTTCTCTTCCTGGTGAGCTGGAGATCTGAAGCTGTAATGACTCTTTTGGAGACTTGAAGTGTAGTGCACAGTGCAGGGAGGGCACCACCGGGTGCTGTGGGATGAAATTCCAGGTTAACACAGTGTAGCACCGGGTGCCGCACGAGACCCGCGGCTTCCCGGCACTTCTAGTTCTCAGTGGTTCACTGCTGTTTGGGAAGTCCTGGTGCTGTGTCTGGTCTTGTATAAAGCTTCTGTCAACCACAGGGCTTCCTAACTGTTTGCCTGTTCTTTCAAACGGGGCAGCTCTGCTTTTGTCAGTCCCGTTTCCATTGGTGTAGGTGGGTAGGAGCTGCATCAACACAACTGTGGAACTCCCCAGGGAATGTCAGTTTGTCTTGCCCGCATCTCTGGGGACCAGGTTTGTAGTTAGTCCCTCACACTGCTGGTGTGGAGAGAAGGGTTTTTGCATTTCCCTGCAGAAACATCCTCCTGGCCCCGGGGGCTTTGTTAGGAGAGAAAAATATGTTATTAACAAGTCCTTCTATCAGAAAAATCAAGGTAATTTGGTAGTTCTGTTGTCTTCATTTTTTTGAACACTCGCAACTTATTCTAAAGCTTCTTCGCAGGAAAATAGAAGTCCCGGGTGGTCTTTCATATGTACTGGCTCTTTTTTCAGACCAGCTGACAGAATAGCTCAATGACACTATTCCTAGTCAGATACTGCAGGGTAAAGCCAGTGCCTGTCTCTTCTGACATGCTAAGCTCCACCTCTTTATTTTCTCTTTGTTCAGGTTTAAACTCATGTTAGTTGCCTTGTTTATTGTAGAGATAAATTGTATTTCAGTGGTAGTATTTGTCTGAGTGCTCATGCTGGTGAACAAATGGAATTCCGGGTTTTGTCAGGTATATATCCAACAGATCAAAGAAATGTTTTTTGTGTACTGTGACTCAACAGTGAGGAGACTTAAGATTGACATTCTAGATGTCACTGTTACTAAGATGAATGAAGATCCATGATTCAGATGGTGCTGTCTCAAGCCAAACTGCTTGAATTCTCAGAAATCTTGCCATTTTGGCTTGCATCTTATGACTAATAGCTGATGTGCCAGCCTCACAATTAGCATTAATCTATGCTTTAAAGGGAGGACAGTACAACATAGAAGCATGCAAATGAGTGGTGTGGCCAGCTGCAATTTGAACAGCTCTTTGAAATTATTTACTAATCTGTCTGTCTCAGAACCCATTGATTTAGTATTTGAGGATGGTGTCCCTCTCCAGCTGGCAGCCTCTGCCTCGTCTGTAGTGTTGTGCTGAATTGATGGCTCATGTGTTTGCACTCCAGAGGGATGGCTGTGGCTGGCAGCAGGAGGTCCATGGATGATCTGTGCGTGCTGCCTGTCTCCTCCCAGGCTTGCTGGCTGCTCCCACCAGGGCAGGAGGAGCCCCAATTCCCATCCTGGGATGGTACAGCCGTGTGTGGTCCTTCCTGGAGGAAGTTTGGTGCCAGCTGAGTCAGTGTGACTTCCTGCAGCACCTGTTTTCCTCAGCTCCTGTAAAGAGATCATTAACTTGGGTTCACCCTGTTTCACTGGGAACTATGAATCACTGCTAAGAGGGTAATGTGGCTTTAGATGGCTTTCTGGATTAAGAATCATATTTTAATTGCCTTCTCTGCTAAAGAGTAATTCATGTCTGCTCTACGAAAAGGCGTGATAAGCCTCTGTACTCTTACAGTGCTTCAGTTCCATTTTCTGGTGTGCCTCCCTTATTTAAAGCACACAGAGCTCTTTAGCTGCTGAGAGATCATGAGTCATGCATTTTGATACTATAAAACGTGGCACCTGTGAAACTCTGGTGTCTCACAGCGTGGTTAGAAAAGTTATCAGGTCTGGGATCAAAGCACTGCTTGAACAGAGGCCTGAGCACACAAGGCTTCGTAGGGATTTGTGGAGATGTTTTGTCACCAGACTGCTGTTTGAGTACCCCACACACATACACACTCCTCTGTGGGGTAGGTGGTTATACCATGATGTGCAAATATAAATGCACAGGTGAGATAGTTCTTTAAAAAAAAAAAAGACCATTTCTTGGTAAGGTTAGCTGTAGTAATAATGAACATCATTCTGTACAAACTGGGGTCAGACTTGGGTTTCAAGTTAGATTTTACTTATGGACTGTAAATCCACTTTTCTGATAATTCCTGGGCATATTTTGTGCCTGTTAAAGTGGTTGTGTTTTGTATGCATGTAAATATGTATCGAAGGAAAGGTGCAAAGGTTTTCATAAGTTGCTGATGTTTTTGAAAGGGAAGTTTGCAGATCTCGCTCTTGCAGACTTGTGCACATTTCACTTTCGGGATACAGAATTTACCTCTCTCTAATAGAGAAGTAGAACAGCTAAGAAGACATGTTAGCCACAAATGTTGTATATCTTAATACCTTCAGAATTGCACTGGAAGTCCTGAGGAAAAGTCTATTTCCTTTTAACGAAAGTGGTCGGATCATCTTTATTCTTGGACTGTAAATCTGAGCGCTTGCAGTTCTGCTACCTTATTCAATAGACCTTTGGCTGACTTCACATCCTGAAGATGCATCTCTTACTGCAGCATATTTTGAGCTTGGCAGGAAAGAGGATTGCAGTAGATTCCCTCTGCACCAAACTTGTGCCTTGTCTGACACGAGAAGCTTGTGTTCCTTAGGGAGAGGTTTATTGCTTATTCTTTGCATTGTGCTAAACACTCATCTATCACAGCCTTTTTGTTCTGAGTTAAGCTCCTCTTTTTACCAGTCACCAAAACATCTCATGCAGACGTTCACTTTTTTGAATAGCCTTCATTTTTTTTTTGTCATTACTTCTAAGCTATTTATAAAGAGGACATTCTGCTCAAGCTGCTTGTACAGTTCATGCTTTTAAAATTCGTTGTGCTTTTCTTAGCTTGGTCATCACTCTTGCCTCTTTGTGTTCTTGAATCCTACAGCATTCCTTGCACTCACATTTAAGGTCTCTTGGTAAGAGCTGTGGGATTTGCAGGCTGCAGGCAAGTGGGGCGTTGATATTCCTCTGGGAAATGAGGACTCTTCTTTGTGTGTCAGCCCTTGTGGCTGGGCAGACATCTGTCTGGGTTATCCAGTACCTGAGGCTTTGGGGAATTTCTTCAGTTTAACCCATAAATAAGGACTCTTGTCACACCCACTCTTGGAAGATAAATAGCAAAAGAACTGCTTTAGGAATTCCAGTGGGGTGCAAGGATACAGATAGGTCTGTGCTGCCCAGACAAAATTTCCTCTTTTAAAGAGTACAAATAAAAGATGTAAGTATTTTTGGTAAAATTCAACAGTAGCTGTTGGAAGATGATATTTAATTTTTAGATAGTTTCTGAGAGTTCTGGATCCTGAACCTGACTAGTTTTGCTGGCTGGTTTAATGGCTGCAGAATGTAATCAATATCTTAAATTAAGTAATGTAACATAACTTAATCACAGTCTAAAAAAAAATCTTAAACTATTATATTAAAATCTGCTGGTTTAGAACAAATGTCCTGCTTGTTGCTGACAGTCTGGTAGGTCATGGCTTTAATAGTGTAGTTCATATGTTTGCTGCCTGAGTTGTGGTGGATTATAATTGTCCCTTCTAAGAATAACTGAAAATATAGAAAAGAATGTGCATAAATAAACTCCTGGCTGGTGTGTCTGGATTTATCAACTAGCTTAAGGCTGGCTACCTTTGGAAAGGGCAAGTAGCAGAAAGTGTGAAGCCAGTGCTAAAAGCCTGTGGTCTGAGAAGTTTTCCAGGGTAGGTTTCAGTGGAAGAAATGACCCCTAGCTTTTCATTTCATGGTTTGATTAGAGCATTTTAATTTAACAGCAAAAATAAAAATGAAGTGCTCGGTTGTATTTGATTTACCTGTTCTGGAAGGGATTTGTGTGAACAGGTTCACAGCTGATCAGGTGGTGTCTCTGTAGATCACACAGCAGCAAACAGGTAATTCTTGCTGCCTGCTTCATGTTCCAAATCACTGTTCGTGTTTGCAAATATAAAGATGAATACAACATAAAAAGCGAGGGGGATAATCTTAATCTTGGAAATATGCACATGGCATGTGATTGCCTGGAAAATTGAAATGTACAATGTTTCTGAAATGATGAAATACTGAACATTTCTCTTATTTCTGTTGTCAGCACCTCATCTCGTGTTGCTAAAGGAATCGAGTACACAAAAATGAGCCTCCATGGTGCCAGTGGTGGACACGAGAGATCAAGGGACAGACGCAGATCAAGTGACAGATCTCGTGACTCATCCCACGAAAGAGCAGAATCTCAGCTCACTCCATGCATCAGGAATGTTACTTCACCAACAAGACAGTATCATTCTGGTGTGTTCAGACCTATACCATCTCAGGGTGGAAATTGTCTAAACTCGGTTACAATTTTGTTAAAAGAATACAGTAAAAAGTGTTATTTGTTGATGACACAAAATACAGATTTCTTACATGTGCCCTGGGATGGGAATACCCTTTTATGGTAGGTTGTAACTTTTTTTTTTCAGTCTGCAGTGCTCAGTCCTACACAATGCTTTTATTTAGTCCAAGTTACAAGAACAGTCTAATTTTTCTAAGAAGATAATTGACTAAACACTTCCCCTTTACTGTGTAGGGTCTAGGTATTTAGAAATAGAGGAAACAGGGGGTTTTTTTGAGTGACAAAATATGGTTTGTTTTCTTTGAACTACAGCACTGAGGACCAGCTGTGATGCATAGCTTCTGTATTGTGTCGAGTTGCTTTTTCAGTACTAGAATGTTAAATTTTCCTTGTAAAGACTTCGGGGAGGTGAGGTGGGTTTGATGTCGAAGTGACACAAACTCCAGGATCTCATATGTGGACAGTTACTTCTGAAGGTTTCTTTAACCAGAATAAATTTAACCGAAATAGTTTGTAATTAAGTTATCAAGTTGACGTGTTTTATGCCTGGAAAGACATAAACTGCACAGAGCTCTTGTGGAAGTCTGTAATTTAATTTCCTGTTCTTTCTCCCTCGCCTCGTCCCCGCCGCAGACCGAGAGAAGGATCACAGCTCATCCCGCCCCAGCAGCCCCCGCCCCCAGAAGACGTCCCCGAACGGTTCCATCGTCAGCATGGGGACCAGCAGCAGGAACAGCAGCCAGTCCAGCTCAGATGGGAGCTGCAAGGCTGGGGGGGAGATGGTGTTCGTGTATGAAAACGGAAAAGAGGGAGCTCGGAATGTGAGAACTTCGGAGCGAGTAACGCTCATAGTGGATAACACCAGATTTGTCGTAGATCCTTCCATCTTCACTGCACAACCTAATACAATGTTGGGCAGGTTTGTAACTTCTTGGGGTGTTTTTTTATGCCTTAACCTCCAACTGTTTAGAGAGCCATTAATGCTTTTAGATATTTAAACTGCTTAAATAGCTGTTGAACTCATAGTGCTACAGCTGATCTCACAAATGTTTAATATTACCAATTTGCAATGTCTTTAAGTAAAAATCAGATGCAAGTTCTCCTCTGTTTTTGCCAGAGAGGCCAAGAGAGGTCTATTACCTAGAGAGGAAAGAGTTGATGAGTAAATTAACATTTCATGATGTGCCCATTTCCTTCTGTCTTCCTGACCGTTGCTTCTGTGTTCAGTCTGCCTCATTCTTCCTCTTGTTTTCAAAGCTTCATAGAACAAAGTAGTGAGTGTAGATTGTCTTTTTCAAAATAGCAAGGAGGAAAATCTGATTTTGCTGAATGGGCCTACCCTGATAACATTCAAACTCAGCCTATTTACCTTCTGAAATGATTTTTGGAGAGGGCAGTGTCAAATAGTTGGTATAACAGACCTGAGCTTCAGCAGAGAGAGACCAAATGCTCAAAATGGTCAACATCTGAATAAAAGTCCACAGTATGTGTGTAATATTTTTTTGTAGAAACTTTAATGAGCAACATATTTAAGATGTTTATTCGGTGGAAAAAGATTCTGTACTTTGTAATTCAGTACTTTTACTTGCTTAAATTCTGCCTGGTTTTGCAATGTCCAAGCACAGAGACCACCACTTATAAACTTGCAGCAAGAAAGAAATGAAGGTTTATGTCTGTGTCACTCTTGATTTAGCTTTTTCATTAAAATGTGGCTGTTTCTTAGCACATGAGGGTATAATCATATTTAAAATACATATACATATATAAATCTGTTAGACAAGGTACAAGTAATAAATATGATTAAACAACTTCTGCTCTGGTTTAAATTGCTGGAGTGTGGGATAAATAGTACCTTGGTTTTAAGAAAAGCTGGGGAAGAGTTATAGAGAAAGCGAAAAATGCTTCTCTGTGTAAACTTTCAAGGGAAATAAATAGAAGTAATAATTTAAGATAAATCATTAAGGCATTTTTTATATGTACAGTACATGCATACATGTAAATATTTAGACAAACTGGAAGGGTACCAGTTGAAGTTATGCAGTGAAATAGTTCCCTTTTCCATTCCCAGCCTCAGAGTAAGCAGTGCTGCCTAATGCACTGGATTTTTTTGTGCATGTGTGATGCTGAGTTATTCTCCCTTTGGGATTGGTTCAAGGAACAGGCTTATTTTATCTTCTGCTAATTGAAAAGTAGGTTAATAAAGGTACGGAAATACTGCTCTAAAACGCAGGTTATTTATAAACCCACTTTCCCTCAATGTCAGTTCACAGGACACTAAACAGGAGCAGCTTGACTAATCTGTTCTGGGAGGTAAAAGTTACTATAATAAGAATGCATTATTTGCCTTAAGCTTATATCCTGTTACGCTGCCTTTTTCTAAATATTATTTCTTGTCCTGAAGAGTGGTCAGAAAACACTTGTGAGATCATTAAGTGAAAAAAGTTACTTCCTTTCTCCATTATAAATGCTCTTAGTTACACCAGCTCTGCTGCTTTGGGCTGTGTGTGTGAGAGCAAACCATAGGGAATATTTGTAAATAAAACAGGGAGTAGATGGCAATAGTTTTTGTAAGCATTGAGTGTAATTCTCTATCAGAGGAGTGTTTTAAAAACTCAGATACTGTTTGGGACTCGTAGTGTTTCCCTTAGTTTCACTTTCCTTGAGTCCTAGCAGGGAGAAATAGGCTGCACACGCCACCCTTAACTCTTCTATCAGAGTTTTATTTTACCTTTTGAATTAATTAAATCTTTCCAACAAAACTGAAATGTCTTGATATAACGAGAATTCCTCAACAGAACCTGTTCTTTTGTTACATTGCCCCACAAATGCCAAACACTTCTTTGAGGTTCCCCCCACCTTTGGCACTGACAGGAAATGGCCTGGTCTGACTTTTATTGTTGCTTGGAGGACAAGTTTGGATTGAAGAATAAAACTAGACTTTTCTGAGTTACACTGCCCTACTTTGTTTTCTGGTAGTCCTGCTAAACACAGACCAAACTGAACAGTGTGCATACACGTGATGTAGAATACACTGGTTTTTCCCTGACGTTTCGTTACAATTTTTGACACTTCTCTGTTTTACCAAAAAAAAAAAAAAAATCATGGTAAGGAATTCTAACCAAATCACTTTCATTCTTGAGCAGGATGTTCGGGTCAGGCAGAGAACACAACTTTACACGTCCTAATGAAAAAGGAGAGTATGAAGTTGCTGAAGGAATTGGTTCCACTGTGTTTCGTGCTATTCTGGTGAGTTTCTGTTCAGACAAGCACTGTGAGTATTGGGAGTCATGACTTCTTAATACAGCCTTACTTACATATCTGTACTTTGTGGATGGCATAGGTACTGCTCTTCTGTTGTTTTGTAGAGGGGGAAAAATGCTTGATCTGAAACCCCCCTCAGGATTTTCTAGACATGAGCGTGTGACAGCCAGGGAGAGAGAAAGCACACATGAAACAAACCCAAAAATACTGCCTGCCAGAAATTAGTTCACCTCCTATGCATTGAGTTCACCAAATTCAGGTACATTCAGCCCTTCCTGTGCTGAAATTAGGTGAAACAGAGTACTGGAAGTTAATTTACTGCAGCTAAAGGGGTAAAGCAACCTTCAGTCTGAGATGAAAACGGCCCCTTAACATATTTCATATCTACACAGAAGCAGAGCTGTTGTACTGCTTTGTCAGCAGACTTGGAATAGCAAAAGCTGAGGGAAGTGTAGATAAAAGACAGCTTACATGCACCAAAATGATCAGTATTAATAGTTGTCACTTGAATAACAATTTTAACCACAACCCACCGCTCTGAACGCAGCTCTGGAAATGGACAAATTTGAGGACAAAAAGACTCACAATGTTTCACATATATTGCTGTCTTACATTTTAGGGGCTTTCTTTGTGGGGTAAGCATCATAAATGAAATGATTGAATGTTTCTGTCGATGAGTGCACAAGTGCATTGTGTTTTTTGTTTGCTGCATTGCTGCAGGATTACTACAAGACTGGAGTGATACGCTGTCCTGACGGGATATCCATTCCTGAACTGAGAGAAGCCTGTGACTATCTCTGTATCTCCTTTGAGTATAGTACTATTAAATGCAGAGATCTCAGTAAGTACAGAATTTATTAAATCATTGGAATTATACAGATTGATTTAAGCAAATGTGTGTGTGTGTGTGTGTGTATTAATTCCAAATCATATCCTTTACTGAGGTAAGGAAGATGGCTGACACTACATGAACAAAACCCATCCCTTTTTGCCTCTTATGTAATAAAGCCCCAAAGCTAATGGATGTGTGTTTTTATGAGATATAATGTTTCTGGTATTTCAGTATCTGGTTCTCTGCTGGGGGTCAGCCCTGTGCAATTCTTACACTATTGTTACATTTGCAGGACAGATACAGTAACACCAAGTGGTATCTTTTTGTGCAGAGGACAGGGAGATGATTTATTCAGCTCCTTGCTTAAGAGAATTAATCTGTCTCCGCAGCAGAAGCAGCTCAGCTTTGCTGCTGGTGTAGGGTTTACCAATGCTCCCAGTATGTACCATTCTCTTCAGCTCCTTCCATCCCTGAGCACAGCCCAAGTTTTGGCCAGTGTTTAGGAGACCTGGGCTGTTCCCCTGGTCCCTGAAATCTCATGATGTGTGTGCAGAGCAGGCCAGGCCGTGGCATTCCTGGTGGCAGGGCTCTGTGGGACACCTGTGCCTTCCTCAGCAGTGCTGTGGCCTCACCGCCTGTCACTGCCCAGTCACAGGCTCGGAGCACTCTGTCCTCAGCACAGGGATTTAGCAGCTCCTGCTGAGAGGGCTCTGAGCAGCTTTGTTTTTAAGCTACTGCTTTTGAAATGTGGGTTGTGTGCTCTACTCTTTCAGCAACTGGCTTAAATAATGTTTCTTTTAGGAAAACAGAGAGTGTCTTGCACAGTTACCAAATGTTTAGCAGTAGTAAAAGAGGAAGAAGGTCTCCTCAAAGTCACTCCTGTCTGACCAACCTTATGTTAATATCTGCAGGATAGTTTCAGCTTCTGGTAAACATTTGAATAAGTTCTGAACTTACACAAACTAATAGGCTTAAGTGTCTTTACACTTGTCTGCAGAAAACACCACAAGATAAACGGAACTGCTGCGTTTCTTATTCCTGCCTTCATCTTTTTACCAAGCTTTTAAATGTGCCTGTGCTTAAAATTTTCTTCCAGGTGCTCTCATGCACGAATTGTCAAATGATGGTGCTCGCAAGCAATTTGAGTTTTACCTCGAGGAGATGATTCTCCCCTTAATGGTCGCCAGCGCCCAGAGCGGGGAGAGGGAGTGCCACATTGTTGTGCTGACAGATGATGATGTTGTGGACTGGGATGAAGAGTATCCCCCACAAATGGGAGAGGAGTATTCACAGAGTGAGTTTATTATCCTGGTTGCCACCAAGCCATCCGTGGCAGAGGTAGCAGCGAATGTGCTGATTTAAGTTGTATGTAAGCACCGCCAGCAAAGTGTTAACAACATCCCTAATGCCCCACGAAACAAAACTCTCTTAGTTCTGGTAGTTTTGCTTAATATTTTGCTTCATAGAAGCGTATGTTGCTTGCTGTGTTCAAATCTAATTAAAAAGAGGAGCTGATTTTTATTGTTAAGGTATTTTCAGCCAGTGAGGGGGAGGAAATACCAACTTTTCTCATCAAGCTCTTTCTGAAAAAGTCATGTTGACTGTGGAAGAACAACTGGAGGATTTTTTTTGGGAAAAAAACCAAGTGTTGTTATTTTTGAAGTATTACAGATGTGTGTTTAGATGAGTTTAAGCACCTGTGAATGGAATGCCCTTCCCTGCATCCGTGCTCTCCTGGTAGCTGAAGATGTTCCTTCACTGTGAAAACGTGGAATTCGGGGGGGTTTGTGAGGGCAGGTGGAAGCTTGAGGTACTCTTTGTACTCCAGTAACACAAAATCTTCTTAGGAGTCTCTTCAGAGTATTACAGTTTTATGTACTGTTAGTTTGGGGTTTTTTAAATTTAAGAAAACCAAAATACCAACACAAAAAATGATGGGTTTGGAGGATGCAAGCCTGCAGCTGTTCTTAAATAAGGGAGGCTCTTTGTGAATATAGATCAGAGGTGGCTGTTCCAATGTATTAACACAATTAGCTCACATTTCTAGGGCCATTGTGTCTCAAAGATGCCAATTAAGAAAACCCCCTGCTCTAATTAGTTAGGCACACACTTGCCTTTGACATTTTCTCACTAAAATGTATTTTTTAGTTATTTACAGCACAAAGTTGTATAGATTCTTCAAATACATTGAAAACAGAGATGTGGCCAAATCGGTGCTGAAGGAAAGGGGGCTCAAGAAGATCCGACTGGGCATCGAAGGTAAGGGAAGCACTGCTGACTCCCTCTGGGCTGGAGGGGCTGCTGCACTTCTCTGAGCCTGGTCTGTAAAATCTCATTAAGCAGTCGAGGATTTTTGTCATGAACACAAGAACTGGGTTTCTTTGCATTACATTTTTCCTCTGATTGTTGACCCAAATATTTTAGAATCCAGCCTTTATAATTAGCAGGATTTCTCTCCTTCACTCACCACGTTGTCATAGTTACGTTTGTAATTTGCCAGCCAAAAGCAAATGCTTTTAACTGGTTGTGAGCTCTGAAATAAGTCATTTCAGCTGAGCAAGGTGGGAGCCTTCAGGCTGACGTGCCCTTCAGCTGAACAAGAACTGGCTCTGTCTGTAATGCCAGCTAATACCAGATTATTTCTGCTGGCATTTCTTGGTTTAGACAAAGAACAACTGTTTGACCAAACTGTAATGCTGGTGCCCTGTAACAATATGTAAAATGAACATTATTGCTGGGGCAGAGAGGAGAGATGACTGGGACGCAGCATAACCAGAATTCACAATTCATCTAAAACCATGTATTTTCACCCTTTGGGGAGCTGGGAGGAATGTGCTGGGATTCCACCTGGCAACTTAAACCAGAGATCAGAGTGACACTGAGATCCCATCGCTGCTCTCCCACCACAGTGTTGTAGAGACAGTGGCTGCTGACAATGGCTCAGGGAAGGAGCTGTGGTGTTGTCTGTGAGGTCTGGGTGGCAATATATTAATTATTATATCTCTGTGGTGGCACTGTACTAATTATTGACAGTTCTGCGGCCTTTCCTTACAATTTCAGTTCAGCTCAGTCAGTTCAGCTCCTGACTCCATGTCCTGCTTGCACAGGGGACATGAAGAACAACACAATGGCATCTGTTTCCATTCAGGATGTGGATGGTGGCAGCTGCTCATCCTTGCTGTGCTTCCACACAGGTTTCTTCTTGTGAAAGAAACCCCGAGCCCCACAGCACAGGCAGTGTTGGGCTGGGCCGGGCTCTGGGCAGGGCAGTGGTGACTGTGCTGTGTCTCTCAGGTTACCCCACGTACAAGGAGAAGGTGAAGAAGCGGCCGGGCGGGAGGCCGGAGGTGATTTACAACTACGTCCAGAGGCCCTTTATTCGGATGTCGTGGGAGAAGGAGGAAGGGAAGAGCCGGCACGTCGACTTCCAGTGTGTGAAAAGCAAGTCCATCACCAATCTGGCGGCGGCAGCAGCGGATATCCCCCAGGACCAGCTCGTGGTCATGCACCCCACCCCCCAGGTAGACGAGCTGGATATCCTGCCCATCCATCCTCCTCCCAATAACAGTGAGATGGATCCCGAGGGACAGAACCCACCGCTCTGATCTGGACTCTCACTAAAACAAAAGCATGCTCCTTAAAGTGACTCTGTACTCCAAGTCATACCACACTGCAATTCCAGTTTTTTCCATTGTGTTAACGGTGTTTAGGGTATTGCAGTACGGACCTTTGGAAAGACCAGAGGGTTGTTTTTGGAAGAGTACAGATCAAACACCTGGGTTCCAGTTACATGTGTATGTGTTTACCAGTAGGTTTGTGACGTTGGTGATTTGTCTGCTGGACTGTCCTCACTCTGAAGCCCCTCCAGGCCCAGGGGACGCGTCAGCGTTGTGACACAGGGGTTGGAATGCAGAGGTGGAATTGATAGTAGCACTTTACAAATGGTTGAGAAGTGGAATTTGAAGCCATTTTTTATAAATGTATTGCACAATACTAACAAAGTGCTTCTATCAAAACTGTACATAGTTTTGCTCTGAATAGGTTGACCCTTTTAAAGTTACTGTATATGGTTGAGCACAAAACTACTACTGGGTTCTTGGATTGAGGACGTGATTCAATGACCCACATAACATCTTGTTAAACTCAAAGTTCTTTAGTGAATTTTTTCACTTGTTTGCAGCGTGAGCCATGTTCAAAAATTGTGAACAACGGATAGGGGCTTTATCTTAAATTTTGCCTTACCTTAAGCTGTTCACAAATATTTATTTAATACATTTTTCATAAGTGTCATGAAATAGGAAAATGCAAATGGTTAATTCTTCATTTATTAATGATTGTAAACAAGTTTTTCATGCAAATAAAGTTTCCATTATTTTAATGGGCTCGAATTATCTGCGAATTATGTATTTTTAGAGCAGTTGCTTTTCTTTCCTCGGGGGAGGATAGTTAATATTAAGTGAAAAACAAGTATTTCTTAAAGAGAATCTGGTAACATCAGCCTGTCATCTCAACCTGCTCTCCTGTTGTGCTTTTCTTAGTATAAACTCCAAGATAGTAGTAAATAATAATAACGGCTTCTCTAGAAACTTATTGTTGTGTAAGTGTGGGTAAGGCCTTGTTTTTCCTCCAAAGCTAAAGAAATGATGAATACCAAGTGCTTCTAGCATGCACCTTCAGCAGGGTTTTATCAAATTTATTTATCAAAGTAAATGCTCCGTCTTAGAACAAGGGAAACATTTATTTTAAAAATATTTAACTGTCTAATACATTACACTTTAACAATATTTATAGTAAAGGATTCTTACAAGAAAGAATAAACAGCTTTATGGTACAATTAGTATAAGAAATATCCACATGGGGACTGTTTTGCAGTGTAAAAACACACCATACATCTGAAATGGTCATTTGCATATAAAAGCTACCACTGATGCCAGTGAGTTGCACAGTGATTTAAAAAAAAAAAAAATTTCAAACAACAGAATCCAAAATATACAAGTATTGCAAGCTATACACAGCTAACCAAATCAACACAGAACACTGTAGCAGGTTATTCCACTTTGTCTGAAGTTACACATGGTAAGGATGAGTTGCATTCTGACACGGCTTTTATGAAATCCGTACATAAAAGCTCCTCAGTCCCACGAGTTTCACAGACTGTAGAACTCCACCAGTAAATGCACTTTGATATTTGGGTGTCTGGGGGCATCATTTACAAGGGCCAGGGCAGGTCACTGAAGTCCACGGGGCCGCCCAGCCCCGCGTCGGCCTCCAGCAGGCTCATGATGACGGCCATGGCGGCCTCGTCGTTGCTGGGGCTGCTCGAGCCCTGGTCGTTGTCGATCATGTCGATGCCGATGTGGGAGTTCTCCCCTGGGGGTGCAAACACAGGCAGGGGGCTCGGTTTGGTCACTTCACTGCTATGGGCACTCACCCCGTGACCTGGGGTGGAACATCTGAGCGTTCCTGTTTGAGGAACAGCGATCTGTGTGACACCCGGGGTGCCGCGGGTTCGGGGACAGCGCTGTCAGTGGGTGTCACTCCTCAGAAGGGACCAGTGTGGCTGAGAGGGACAACCCTATGTGCAAGACTTCAAATACAACACTAGATCAACATCCCTCTTCAGCTCTTTGAAAGCAGGTCGGGAACTGAGCTAAATCACACTGATTCAGCAAGAGAAAGGGGCTTCCACGTATTGTCTAAAAGAAATTCCAATGTGAAGTTGGGCTGCGAGGAGCCTCCTTAGCAAGCAGAGTGGTTGGTTATGGGCTTTATGCCTCAGCTGCAGCCTGCAGGTGGTAAGGGCAGGTTACTGCTCAAACCAACCATGTTGTTACAGTGTCTGTGTGTGTTTAGGTGTGTTACGAGTGACTTCACTTACCGAGGATGGAGGAGTTGTCGGAATAGGGGTAACCAGAATTATCCTGGATTTGCCCAGACAGCAATCCAGCTGAAGAAATGTCTGGAGTGCCACCATTCAAGATCTTGAAAGAAAAAAACCAGAAGCTATAAACCAGCATGAAATGTTGCAGTAAGTCTTAAATTGTCCCATATTGGGATTTTTAATACAGGGTGGATGGACTTCCTGAAAAAAACCCCAAACATCACCACCTAAAGGTTACTTAATCAGACTAGTTGTAAACTAGGAGCTGCTTTCCTCTGTACCAGGCCCATGGAGCAGATGTCAGAAACACCCAAACTGTGTTTTCCTTTGTTCCATTCCAGCAGCCCCTACTATATGTACATGTTGAATATTTTAGGGCAGGAGGAGCAAGGATAACTATTACCAGAATTCTAACTCTGTTTGTCACAACTTCAAGTTTTATTTCAAGAACAGAGCCAGGAATAGACAGAAATATTTACTGTCAGCTGTATGCTCCAGTACAAGCAATTCTTATGTACAGTCATCATAATTTCTGGGGAAAAAAGGTTAAGTGAATCTGAGATGGCGTATAAAGATTTGAATAAGTGCTCTTCTTGGATATAACTACCATAAACAGCAATTTGCAGACGACTGAAAGCAGCCAGGACAAGTGTTCAGGTGGTTAAGTGCTGGTAATGGTACCTGAGTGCTCCTCAAGCAATCTTAGAGCAAGGCAGGGTGCACGGTGTTGATTTAAAAATAAACTCTGAGTGCCCAGCAAAGCATTTAATTGTCATATTTTGTAACACCGGCGTGATTCATCCGAGCACAGCCAGCGCTCCAGCGACAGCACTTCCAGTGCTCACCAGCACGGGGTGTTGAAGGGGTTTTGGAAGCTGGGAGAGATGAGCAGAGCTGTCCCTTTGCAGCTCTGCTAAAAAAAAAAACCAATCTAAGGAACAGGTGGATTTCAAAACCTGCTGATGTTTGGGATCTACTGCTCTCTGCAAAGGGGTTTTGGCCACCGGAATACTTTGACTGGGTCAGACTTTTCCAGCCAAGCAGCCAGGAGTTGTTCAAATCAGCTGTTCCACATCAGCAGGACCCCACATTGCTTGTCACTGCTGCCATGAGACTTGGTGAAGCTTGTCCTTACCTTCTTGCCTCCTGGGGAGGAGGTGTCAGGTGGTGGGGTGCTGGTGATGTTCAGGGGACTGGAGCCACAGCTGGAAGGTGATGATCCTCTTATCCTAAAATATGGATAAAACGGCATGGATTTACCAGCAACACATGCCAGAGACTTGGAAGTTTCAAATGCTGACTTCAGTACCAGGTGCCACAAGGTGCTAAAAGCATGACTTTAATTTTTGTAATTTCCTCCCTTTTTCAGCGTTGCTCAGACCAGCAGCAGCAGCAGCAACGTTTTCATTTGCAGCCAGATAAACAGTCCTGTGTAAATCCAGCTCGGTCTGCAGGCTTTACCTCCTCCCCTCTGTTTTTGTTCCTGTACAGCCTCCACAAAGAGTCAGAAGGAAAAGGTCCTGGGTGCTGAGAAAAGCCTAATTTTTTTTTTTTGTGTGTGTGTGTGTTTACTTCAATTTACACCAGCTAAGAACTCCAGCTGCCTCAATCACAGTGACCCAGACTCCTTCCATCAGCTACTGCTACAGAAGTACACTGGACACTTGATACAATTCTTTTTTTTTTAACTGCTCAAAGCAGCATTTTTCACTTCAATTTTCCATAGCTTGATCAAACATCTTTAATAATGTATCATGTATTGACTGTAGAACCAACAAATCTCTAGACTAAAGGGAGGAGGAGGAGTTACAGAGAAAAGCAATGGAAATGGGAATCTTATCCTTGGCAGAGTTCCCCTGGGAAAGCTGAACAGAAGGCAGCTTTGGAAAATAGTAACAGCTGCTGAAAAAGGACTGGAACTAACCCAGGATCTGAACTGAAATGCAAACACGGGGGGTAAAATGCACTACTGCACTGCTGGGGCTAATGAGGTGTTTTACAGCTACTCAAAGGGATGGTTACACCTCCAAGTACTGGTTCAGCCCTGATGTGGCTTTTTAATTTTTTTCTTTTCTCCTTCTTCCTATTCTTACAGACAGGAAGGAAGCCTTATGGATAGGTCTGCTGTTCCCTGGTAGTCTTCTGCCTGCAGCAGGAACAAAACTGTGGGAAACAGACTGAATGTTTTCCTGAGTTGCAGCTCAGTCTGGTTAAATTGCTGCCACTAAACATCTGCTGGGTGAGACCACTTTCATAGGAAAGGGAACAGTTCCCAAGAGAAAATTCGTGAAGAACAGGGGTTGTTAGCCAACAGAAATTAAGTTGTACCCACTGAAAGCAGCTGCTCACACAGGTGAGAGACAGGACTAACAGCTCTGCATTCCCACAGTCCCTCACTGGAGGGGGCTGCAAGACCCTGTTTTTAAACCAGCCCCACAGCCTGGGAAGGCTGGGCTGCCTCCAGCACTGTGTCCTTGCTCCAAGAGCTCCAGGGGGGAACTGTGCAAGCTGAACGTGCACATCCAACAGCTCCAGAAGCATCTGAGGGAGTGGATCACCCGAAAACAAACACTGCTTTTCTGGCAGGTGGTCATCAGCTTTGGCATTTGGAGGTTGTGCCACTCACAGCCTTAAGTTTCCTGGAAGAAGAACAGTCTGGAAAGGATTTATTTCTAGTTAGCTGTTCTTTTTAACTACTGTTTCTGGTAAACAGATAATCATCACCATTACAAAAAAGTTCCAGTACTGGTTTTTTGCAGTAGAAAGCTGGAAGGCTGTAACATTTTCAGACTTTCAATACAGGCTTTGACTGCCTCAAGTCACGCTGAATAAGTATCTGTAGCTGTCTATGAAACACAACTGTATCATTCCTTACTCATCTTGAAGAAAGGCTTCCTTCATTTCCTCTTAAAGAACAATAATTCCTCTTAAAGAGCAATAATGAAACAAACAATGATTTTCCTCTGACTCTCACCTGTGAATCTCCATGATTTCTTCAGCAATCATCCTCCCTATTTTACCTGCTCCCGCTCGTGTTCCACCTGGAATTCCAGGCACAGTAGGGTGGGTCCTTTTTGGGCCACCTGAAATGAGTGGATATGTTAAGGTCAGATGGAAGCACGAAAACCTTCTCCAAAAAAAGCATTTATATTTAGGCTTTGACCAGCTGCAGGACCTTCTGAATTGTATTTATTTCCCATTCCACCAGCTGGTGTGTGCCTTCAAGTGTATGAAAAGCTCTGGCTTGCACTGAGCTGTGTCTCTCAGACATCCCTCTGTGCCAGCAGGGATACAACATATCCCAGCTCTTTCAGGATCTGATTGTTTCAAGCACCTGGTCCAGAGCTGGTACAGAATGGCTTGTCAGACCTGCTCTGTTCTGTGCCCAAACAGGCTCTTCTCCAAACATGTTTGTTCTGTGCTTCCTGGGAAAAACTTGCTGGTGCATGTTCCATTCAATAGGGGACAAGCCCAAGGTACCTGATGACCCCAAACAAACCCCCTGCAAGAACCTAAGAATGGAGGGAAAAGTGAGGTCTGAACAGCTGGAAGCTGTTTCCTTTAATGTGATCTGACACTTGCACGGCACTTGAGGGGGTTGTCAGGAAGGAGCCCAATATTCTCCAAGGTAAAGAAAAGATCACACCGAAAGGGCAAGAAAGGCCTCAGCATTGCTTATCCATAATGGATAATTGCTGGCTTTTAGAAATGCATATTTAACAACAGCAACCCTCAGTATCTGTGGCTCAGACCCAGTAGGAGGTGAGAAGGTTCACCTGGAAAGGTCATAAATCCTTAGCAGAGCCAGAACCACTTGAAATTAAACTTCACTCAATTAAAAACGTCTTTTCTGAGGACAAGAGCAGTCAGTATGATTATACTACACATCTGGTTTCTTTTCAAAGGCTGTAATTGTGATAAGAATAAGCTTATCCTACTACAGAACGGTTTGTTTTCCATCCTCAGAAAGCCCAGACCCCACATTGCTGCAGTTCCTGTACCTTCAGTTACCAACCACCAGGCCTCCACGGCACCTTCCCTTCCTACCACTGCCACTGTCCTGGGCTCTGCCACCCTTCCTGCTCCAGAGTCACCCACTGAATCCCTCTGTTCAGAGCAGAGAAAGCCCAGCTTTAATCAAGGCTTGCACTGCTCCAGGTGTGCTGTGTACAACTTAGGGAGTAGTTCCAGACACGTGCAACACCCACAGCTGATAGATGTAGTATTTAGTGAACAGGATCTCCAATTATAACAGTTCCCTACTCTTTGCAAAGAATCTCAGTCTTATCACCATTTTTCATGGGGATTTTCCATCCATGGGCTGCCACTGCATCCTTCTATCCTGCCTCACTTCCACCCTGCTTCAGGCACTTCATTAACCCAGGCTCTGCTCTGCATTGGGCTGCACCCCTGTGATGAGATGGTTTGGTGATCTGCACCACCCATAACCAGCCCGTGATGATGACCAGGGGTCAGTGCTCATGTTGTGACAAAAAGCCAAACCAAGGGCAGGTGAGGGACAATAAGCCAAATGGCCAGACTGTGTTTAAGGTCCAGACTGTGTTTAAGGTCCAGACTGTGTTTAAGGTCCAGACTGTGTTTAAGATTCTGAGGAGTCGTGTGCACTGACCACAGACTTTGATGTCACTCCTGAGTCATGTGCAGATGGCACCATCCATGAAGGCAAACTTTCCTCCTCCAGGTCTGTTTATGATTCTTTTCCCTGATTCACTTCTCTTTGACCAGCTCATACCCAAAGCTGACATTTACGTTCAATAGGGCAAGAACTGCATTTGCACGTTTTTGCCCTAAAACTTATTTTGCCTCAGGATATTAACAAAATTCTCAGTGCAGCAAATTTGTGCACGCAGGGTGAGCTGCTCCCAAGGCACGGCTGCCAATAATTTCCTGAGCACAGGAGTTACCTTCTCCAGCCTGGAGCACACTGTCCATGCTGTGTGGAGACGCCGCGAGCTGTGGAAAGGCTGCGTCCCCGCTCTCCAGTACAGTGGTGCTGTGGGTTGCAAGAATCAGAAGGATCAGTGATAGAAAACTCCAACAGGTAAAAAACCCTATCAGTGATTAAAAAAAAACGAGTCATAATGCCAAAAGTTTCAGAATGGAATGCTTCAGGGCTGGAGTAGTTTGTGAGTCAGTGTCACCGCTGTGAAAGCAGCACCTGTGACTGACACCAGGGCTGCATAAACAACAGAAATAAACCTTAAAGTGAGCAGTGCAGGGCCTCAACAGCCTCTCTCACAGAGAATTCCTCTACAGCAGTTATTCTGCTGCCAAGTCACTGCTCTGCACAGAACCCTCAAGAAAAAAAGAGAAGGGGGGGAAGCACCCAACAAAGCAAAGAAATGCATGTCCTGTGCAAGTCCCTACAAAGACTGAATCCCGGGTTTTCCCAAAGAAAGAAAATATTTATATTTTTTGCAGGCTTTAACAAACAGATTACGGCAATTGCTGAACTTATTCCCCTCTCCCCAGGGTGTTATCTGGAGAAGACACCTATTGTCATATGGAAGATGTGCACATATTTAGGTCAACTCCCACCTGAGGAAAGGGCAAAGCAGTGGGCACTTACAGGCACTTGCTGAGAGGAAAATACTTACGAAACGACTGTGTTTGTTGAGACAATGTATTCTACTTCTTTGGTCCAAGGGTTCATGAAACTGAACCAGCGACTCCGCAATGTAATAAAAGAGCCATCTTTTATTTTAAACTTGTAGCAGTTGGTTGTAATTTTTTCTCTCGTCTGCAAAACTGAAGAGGGCAGAAAGCAAGTAACTTTGTGTCAAACGGGCACCATGACCACACAGCAGAGCTCTTTTCAGGGAAAACTCGGTTAATTCCTCCCTTCACCCCTGAAGAAAAATGCTGTTCCTGTGCAGTCAGCCCCCCTTAGCCATCCTGAACCTCACACATCCACTACAAATCCATGCAAGTCCAGGATAATCACAGTGTTAGGCACATCCAGTGTTCTTGACTAAAGCACCTGAAAACAGTAAACCCCAAATCTTTTCGAGTTTGTTTGGTTTTCTTAATACACCACTTAAACCACACAATATGTCCCAATATTTTTAACAAGATTACTGAGTTATTGATAATCATACCTTGTCTATGACATTCTGCAAGGTGTGCTATATCATCTTGATGAAAATATTCATAACACGAAGTACCTAGAAGTTCCTGGGGTAAGTATGCCAGAATGGCTGTTGCCCTGGGGAAGGGAGGGAGAGGAAGAAAACAAAGAGAAAATGAAAAAATAAATAAATGGTTTCAGGTTGAAGTATTAGTCACAGATTACTAAAGCTCCACACTGGAGCTGGGTAAGGCCCAAGTAATGCGGAAAGGAATTTTCAGCTTAGAAGGTTCAAAAATTCCTTAAGAACGCTATTTTTAATTCTCAGGTAATTAAAAAAGTATATATAATACCAGCAGCCCTCAGGCATTATGTCTGACCTTACCACCACCAGAGGGGATCTGAGGCTTTCTAAATAGCTTTGAAGATAACAGTGTAATTTTGAGAATTTAAACCTGAAAAAAGCTGCGTTGTAGCAGCCACAAGGTAATACACAGCTTTCTGCATAAAATGCCATTGAAAAACAGGCTTCAAAGGTTTGAAGAACTGCTGTGCTCCTTTGCATACCTGTGGTGCTGCTGCACAGAGCCCAAATTACTGCACAACATGTGTTTCAGGAGCATTTTCTCCCCTCAAGTCACAAGCCTTAAGAGCGGGACAAAACAAGGCCTCACCAAACTCTGCACCCACATCCACAAACCAGAAAGGTGAACAAACAGGATTTTCCTGGATAGGCACTGAGGCCCACTCTGCGTCTCTGAAATCAGACAGCAGCACACAGCAAATAAACCACCTTTTTGTTTCATCAGAAACATCAGCCACAGAGACAACTCATTTTCCTCCTCATCAGAAAGCTTTAGGACAACATAAACCTGCAATCCACAACATGGGAAAGACCTGGATTCTTGGTCTGACTCTCAGAGACTCTCAGTTAGGAGCTGCTGGCGAGGCTGGAGGACATCTCAAGAAACCAGGAAGAGTTTGTGCATGAACTTGGGAACCCAAGCCTGAAACTAAGTTCAAGAGGAACAGGCAAAGCAACAGTGCAGGTGAGTGACAATGAGCTGAACCACAGCCCAACACTGTGGAAGGGTCATTCCCACAAGGAAGCAGCTGCAGCATATGCTGAACACCTCAGAGATCTGTGTGCTAAAGCAGAGTTATTCCTTAAGTTGTTAATGGTTTAGGAGCTGTAACAACTTCCCTAGGACAACTCATCTAGCCCAGAAGACCAACAGGAAAAATAACAGCTGGGGGGAGAATTGGGAATTGCTGTCCCCCCATACATTAGGGTCGTGCACACTTGCCCCCAGCAGACACCGTACAACAGCAATCTGTGCAATGTTGAAGGGATCTGGAGGGCATCTGAGGAGAGACAGGACATTGCTGCCACCACGGTGCACAGAACACAGCCCCAAACCCAGGGAAATAATTCTAAAACTTCCTGGTGCAGGAAGAAACAGCTGAGAAGGGAACAAAGCAGGGCAAGCCATCCAGGCAGACCTCAAATCGTGCACCATTTAATGTAGAAGGCAGAGAACACGGCGAGAATCAAATGTGCAGGAGCCTCAGTGAACCTGCTCAAGAACATCAGAACAGAAAGTAACACAGCTGAATGATTCCAGAGTGAGACCCTCTCTAGAAGAACAGAGAGCAAATAAACTACTGAACTAAAGTGAACTTGGATTTTGTACCTTTCTTAGAAGACAATTACCAAAGGAGAAATGACAGTTCTTTGAAAAAACTAGAATAAGAGTCACAATCCAACACAAATTAAATACGAAAGGCAATAAGGAACAAACCTAGACAGATAATCACCTCTTCTGCAACCTCCAAAAAGTCCAAATTAAATAATATAAAATGTAGACATTAGTACATATTAATAACTATGAATGAAAACAGAAGGAAAAAACCCTGAAGCACAAAATCCATAGTATTTAAATGCAGGGCATTTTTGTCTGTTCCCAGACACCCCAAGAGCATTCAGCAGTAATCAGGTGCCTTACACCCCAAGTTCTCCTTCAGGGAGCTCTGAGACCTCAGCCTTGGAGAAGGAAACATTACAAGGATTCAAACTGGCTCTTGCCTGGTGAGCATTATCCCAGGACACTCAAACTGCCGACAGCTCCAAGGCTGCTTTGATGAATTATCTCAGAATGGGTGGAGAACCACAAAAGCAGCAAAACACAGTGTCTTCCTTTAAAGTGGAAGAGCTAGGAAGCAGGTCAACCTTATTCCAGTATTTTTCCAAGAGCTTTAGTAACCAAGCCTTTTAACAGCACTGCAGCGATAGGACGCCTGACACAGACGGGTAACAACCAACATGGGCACCAGCAACCAACTTTCAAACCTTTCCATAGCAGGATAAACAGGTGTTTTGGAAAGGAGAAGAGGCACCAAATCACAGCAGATCTCAACAGACTTAGTGAATTCAATATCTGACCACGTTCTATTACGCAAGGAAGAAAACTGTTCGTGTCCTTCTTGAATTTCATCCTCTATTTACTTTTTTCCTGAGCTCACTTCTCCAACTTAAGAAGGCAGCTCTGAATTCTGAAACTGTATGTGATGCCATCTGCATCACATAGATAATAAACTTAATTTTACTTCCAAATTCACCATCCAGATAACTTCAAAATAATTGATAAATAAGAAGGAAGATGATTCTCTTTAGAACTCTGCAGTGCAGCTGCCATTTCGACAGTGAACTGTTGAACAGTTCCCCGGCTGTGGTAGTTGGTAGCTAATCCATAGCAGTGCTTCTCCAGGGATCACACAATCCATAAGGACAAAAAGTTAGGGTCACAGGGAGTTTAAGAAGTGTTTCTTTCCTGAATTCCCTTGGACAAATGACAGAGGAACAGGGCAAGTCTATACAAACGAAAAAAACCTGACATGGAAATAAATTGTTTTAAACTTTCACAGATGCCTAAATATTCTCCAGTGGAAGCAGGGATCATAGGATGACAAATTTAGGCCTAGAGATGAGGCCTTCTTCTAAAAAAATTCCCTTTCAAAGAGTCCTTTGAAGTAGCACACACATTCCAAGGACTGCAAACAACAGCTGGAAAACAAATAAGAGCATATGTGTTTAAATCCAATGGGTTGACATTCTCTGAGTCTCATTATTTCAAAAATACTTCAAAACTATCCGTCAGGGGAATGTGTCTGATTTTTTGAAAACAAAACTCGTTCACAGGCTACCATCCTTTGGCATGACAGAAAGGTTACAAATGCTCCCAAAGCTCCTAGAGTGAGCATCAGCTCCAAACACTTGAGACCTGGTATTTTAAAAGGCTTTCTATCAAATTAAAAACCAAAAAGACCCCCAAAAACCACAACCAAAACCCACAAAACCCAACCACCCCAACCCAGAGAGATAACATTAAAAAAAAAAAAAAAAGATTCCCAGATTCCCCTTACTGCACTTCCTCTCATGACTATCAGCTTTATTTCCTCTCAAAGTCCACAAAAAAAAATCAGCTGACACCCCCCCTGAAACCAATTCCAGCAGGCAGATCTGCCAGAGTTTGGAGTCTGGGCTTTTCTACGTTACAAGCAACTGAGTCAAAGCCACAGGCAACCTGAAACAGCCTCATCTGGGCATTCTCAATCCCTCTTGACAAGGAAGGGAACCAACCCAGCCCTCTCCAATCAACCCAGTGTAACCTCTCCATTAACATCCTTCAACCTCCTTTCCCTTCACATTTTTCCCTTGGTAATGCCAGTTATTTTGAAGGAAGACTCAGGTCATGTGTGTCTGCTACTTCAGAAAAGTCAAGCTATTTCTTCTGCAAGAGAATTAACCTTTCAGATAATAAATGGATGTTTGAAAGCAGATACCACACTGGCACAAGTTCTCAAGCCTTTTCCAAGAAATAAACCTCAGGAAAAGCTTTCCTTCCTAGAAGCATAAAAGAACACACAGAGAAGTATGAATTCAGTTGAATGTGCCCAAGGAAGCAGTTAAATAAATGTCCACGCTATCAAAGCCTAATGCAATCTGTGCAATAACTTAATTGTGTTTGCAAAAGGTTTCAAATAACGAAGAGGTAGTAATTAGGGTCCAGTTTCAAAACACGGTCTTCTGAGGATTACACATACATATCCTCCTTAAGAAATTGGCAGAAATGATCCTGGGATTATTCTGCCTAGTAGGTAATATTTTTGGAAGGTTTTGGGTTTTTTTAATTTCATCAGTAATACTGAATACATGCATAGTAATAGCTTTAAGCTCTGTCTCAAAACTCAAAACAACTTGCAGCCAGGATCTGGCAAAAAGCTGAAAAGGAGAGTAATTTGGTTTTTTTTCAACAGCACAGACAGTGCTGTAAGTAAAGCTGTGAGTGAGGCAGTGTTGGGCAGTGACTTATCGTGGAGGTTGCTCCAAGTCTCCTCACCTCTGATCTACAAAAACGAATTTCCCATCTATGGCGTGTCGGGACACGTATTCCGTAGGTTTCACCCGGATCTCGCCGTTCACCGGCTGTGGCACCACATGGGGATGGAGCCTCCCAATGGCAACAAGGCAGCTCAAATTACAGCCCTCGTTATCGGGCTCGTTATCCTCATCCAGTCCCATCTTTGTTGGAGGCCAGCTTTTTAAATATCCTGTGCTATGAATAGTGCAAAAGCTTTTGCGGTCTGCTGTGAAAAGAGAGAGAGAAAAAAAAACCAAAACAACAAAACAAAAAACAAACCAACAAAACCCAAAAAAGCAGTTAGGTGGTGGGTACAGCTTTGGAGAACTTCAGCTGAGTTCTGCTAAGAATGCATCTCCTCTCTGACCCAGGAAATTCGGGATGCTCTTCACTAAGGCGGGGCTGAGGGAGCTGGAGGTGTTTATCCTGGACAAGAGGAGGCTCAGGGGTGACCTTGTCATTCTTCACAACTCCCTGAAAGGAGGCTGTGGTGAGGCGGGGTTTGGCCTCCTCTCCCAGGCAACCAGTGACAGGATGAGGGGAAATGGCCTCAAGTTGCACCAGGGGAGGTTCAGCCTGGACATCAGGAGGAATTTCTTCACCAAAAGAGTTGTCAGGCATTGGAACAGGCTGCCCAGGGAGGTGGTCGAGTCACCACCTCTGGAGGTGTTCAAGAAATGACTCGACTTGGCTCTTGGTGCCATGCTTTAGTTGACACAGTGGTGTTTGGCCAAAGCTTGGACTAGATCTTGGAGATCTCTTCCAACCCTAATGATTCTGGGATTCCAGGGGATTTTCCTGCACTCTTGCTTTAATGAAGCTAATCTGAGATAATCCAATAAACAATTTATCTTGGCAAAAGCCTTGTTTATGCTGAAACACAAAATAGCTCAGACCAAGGTTGCTTTTGATAATCTTTGAGCAGGAATTGTATCACATTGTATTATTTCAGCAAAGGATGGAAATAATCTAAAGGATTGTTTGAAGAAATTAGTAGATTAATAAATAAGAGGCCTCTCAACTCCTACAAAAACCAGGAACAATATGTTTGGCAGAATATTCCCTCTTTGGGGTGTACCAGGGACAGCTGTACACAGGGGTGAGGATGAAGTTCCACAACGGCCAGGAATACAGTCAGTATCCAAAAGGGGAATTCCTATCCCTCAGCACTGAGCAGGCCTGAAAACTGCAAGGAGGGTGACTTTCATAGGGAGGTAAGAGGCTTATGTCTAACTGCACAAACTGGCTTCCTTGGGGATTAGCACAAAAGCAGGATCCAAGGCTGAAGCTGTGTTCGAACCTCGCAGGAAGTACCTGGGGCAGCGGCCACAGCCAGAGACAATACACCAAAATTGCCTTCTGTTCTCTAGCTGTTTGTCTTTCCACTTCAACTAACATCAAATGTATTATCCAAAGTACTCAGATAAGAAAGTGTCAGATTTGGGCTAAATATATATTCCATCATGTCTAGAATGATAGGAAAAAGATATTACCAACACTGATAAAGTTATGACCAGATATTCCTGCTGGAGAAATACCATATTTCCAGTGGTCAGAATGTACCAAACCTGCAGATGAACTCGGAATAAACTCTTTTTTAAATTGATACCCATCCAAATATCACTTGTCAAATATGGAGCAGAGAAATAGAAGAATTAACAGCTCCCCTTTGCTGGAGACATTGGCAAGATGGTCGATACCCGAAGGAGGTGCAACAATCACCTCAGAACTGCTGGCACAACCTGTCTGCAAAAACTCCAAGAAAGCAGAGTGGAGAATCACAGAATGGTTTGGGTTGGAAGGGACATTAAAGATCATCCAGTTCCAACCCCCTGTGCCATGGGCAGGGACACCAGAGAATTTGTCTTTATATGCTAACACAGTGTGTAAGAGATACGGGGGCAGTGGCAGGGGGGTAAGTAACAAACCTGGACACAGTCCAGAATCTTAATAAGAAACACTTGGTAATAAAATGCGTAATAGTTACCTTTCTTCTTTGAACAGGTTGAAGGGAAATCCTTGTCTTCTACTTTCACTGAAGGCCTATTGCACTTCATCCTGCAGAAGAAGGACCTTCTTGCTCCCGAGCAGAGCCGCGATGGCCCGGGCGTGATGTCGGTTTTGACCGGGAGTCCGGCTGCAGCGAACAGGGAGTGAGGGAGGGTCTTTGTCAGGGGAAAGTCAACCACACACGCGGTTACACCACACAGCCCAACCACACAGTGTTTCCACTTCACTGGGACTCGCACAGAAGTCCTTTTAAATCCTTCTTCGGGAGCACGAGACCTATTTTTGAGATTTGCACTTAAGCAACCGTGCAGGACTCAACCGACCCTTTCAGCGTGACAATCTCTGGTTACAGTTTCTGCTGTGAGAACACTGACACACAAAGCTGGAGAACACGGGGTTCTAAAGGCACAGATTAGCAAGAGGTTGTACAAATCCACGCAAGTCCTGTAATAAATGTTGTGATTTCTCTGAACAATAATCAACTGATTAGAAGTAAAGAGGGTTCATTTCCCTGCAACCAGAGAAGTGTCCCGTACACAGCCACTCAACAGGACCCTGACCCTTTGGACTGCACTCTTCTATCACAACATCCACCCAGAGAGCAAATGTGCATGTACAGAGCAGAAGAGCCCCAGTGCCATTCCAGGTCCCTCTCAACTGGTGTGTTTCAGATTTTTTCACTGTTCTGATGGAAGAAGATAAAAAGGTAGCAGGGGCCTACACAGGGTCTGCAAATTCCCAAGACCTCCACTTATGTTTAAGAAGTCTCTCTAGCCTTGCAGAAATAACTGCATATGGACATGCCCTAACAATAACCCCTGACTTTTATCACATTCTTGCAGGAGATTCTTAGATTCTTTTCTGTGGAAAGTGGAGAAACAACCAAAACATCACTCTGGGAGCCAACAGCAAGTGCTGGCACAAACAGGGCTTCAGGAAGACACCTGGGATGCGTCAGGAGCACAGGGATCAGCAAGGCCAGTGATGCAGCTGGAGCTCCAGGGGCAGTGCTCCAAGAGCTCATGGAGGATTTGAATCACACAGCAACTTTTCCACAGCCAGATACCCACTCCAACCATTTCTGCATGGGGATATGGATAATCAAACTGCTGTAATAGTGTACAAAGACTTCTCGGGCCCTGTAGGCTTTTGACACAAGGAGGAAGACAACAATTCCAATGTTTTAGTGGAAAGTGTGGCTCCCTTAAAAATCAGAATCGAGTGAGGTGACCTCTAGGAGGTCAAACTGCCCCGCACCATATGCACTCTAAACTACTGTTCCGTGGTGAGAGTACAAGCTGTGCCTGAGTCACTCGTGCCAACACAAAAATAAACACGCACATACATACTAGTACTTTTCACCAATATGACTTCTTGAAATCCTACCAATCAGTCTATCATAGCAGATGGGAAGACTGTAATTCATAGTATTTTTTTTTGCCCTAACTTTGTCAGAGGCAAAAAAAAAAAAATATACATGCCTGACAACCGATAAAACCAGGAGCCAGAAAAAACTTGAGCTGATTCTGCTGAAGCCTCCAGCCTCCCTGCCCTGGAATGATCTCTCTCAGCTTCAGTTTGTGAAGTTGAGCTGGTGGCTTCTGTGAGATGAGATCCTAGAGATTTCTGCTCCTGGCAAGCAGGAGACTTAATGACCTGGAAATCTGTGGTTTTAAGATACCACCTTCTACTTAAGCAACGCGGACTCCTGTCATGAGAGGGATTTAAACACCCACTCACCTCAAAAGCAGCAGAGATACTGAGCTACTTTAAAATACCAGAGTGGAATAGAGCTAAGAGACGTGGTAGGAAATGATTCCAAGCACCAGGTTAAAAACCTTCTTAAAGAAAGGTTGGGTCACTGACGGAAGCGGTCACAAGTAATCAATAAACAGATAACTAAAATGAATCCTCTTGGCTGACAGCTAAGGATTACCAAAATAATACTGAGTGTATTCTGAAAATTGAGAATGATGGATTAGAAGTAATGGTTCACATGTTTTAGTGGAAAAAGTTAAACCTCTGATGCCTGGAAAAAGAGAGGATACCTCACAGGTGAAGCCAGTTCAAGCAATGCATGTATAGAGCAGGGCGTGCCAAACCCAACAGCTTCTACATTCAGGTATCTGTTTCATACTTAACTTCTTTTTACTTTTCTTGTTTCTCCCTCTCTTTCAGCTAAAACTTCCTTGGCATGAGCCAATCCAGACAGCAGCCACACACCCCCATACTTTTGACATGAGGCAAATACTCAGAAGCAGTGAATTTGGATATATGACACGTTCTCAAAAGGTGGCAAACACTTACTTTTTGCATCTATGAGCCTTTCCCGTGGTGCAGTGTCAGAAGAAGAGAGCTGCTCCTTCACTTTGGCAATGTCTTTAGGATGGAGATAATCAAATAAACTTTGACCAATCAAATCATTCTGTAGAAATTGAATATTCAGTCAAAAAGTAAAATAATGGTTCAGCACATTTTCTCAATTTTAGCATCCTTTTACATACATGTCTAACCAAGGAACACCAAACATCCAAGATCCAGCCTCATTGCAGGGGGGTGGGACTGGATGACCTTTAAAGGGTCCCTTCTAAATCAAACTATTCTATGATTTGATGGAAGGTGTGTTTTCTCTGTGTATCTGCATTATGACTACACTACACAGCAATTTATGTCATCGTTTTTAGCAAGAGTTTTGCAAAACTGGCATGTTCAATCCACCACCACCAAATATTCTGGTTTCTCCTCAGTCTCACTTCATACACCGCACGTCTGATGGAAAAAAAAATTATAGTTGCAAATATTCTTCTTCAATATTTACCTATGAATAGGTATTTAGTACATACCTGACTAAGGGCTGGCTAAGGAAAACTTTTGAAGCTAAGACAGGTTTTAAATTTGGTAAGGAGTGCAGATGACAGAAAGAATGAAGAAGATGATTTACACAATATGTGGTCCAAGTTAAGCCTTACATTGAGCATATATTAAAAACCTGCCTTTGGTATAATTGCTTCCCAGTTTCCACCAGTAAGGATGCAAGCAGAACCAGAGCAGACAGAAAGAAAACTAAGTCGAAAAATCCACGTGAAGCGATTGGAAGAACCCCAGACTGATTTTTCAGTATTTGCTTATTACATAATGCTTTTGCAAGCCTGAGGGTAAATCCCTGATCAGAATGCATCAATCAGGGAATTAAAGTTAGTTCCCTTTCACCTCCTCAGTTTGAATGGAAACCAGAAACAATCGTCTCTAATGACATGGCAGGGAAAAGTTCTCTCTTTGCAACACCTCTCAGCTTTCAAGGCAGACTATTCACAAACCTGCCTCCCATACAAGTGCATAACCATAAAAAAAGCTCTCAAATCTTTTAAGACCTAACATTACTTAAACAGGAAAAGAATACCTGGCTGTAGTTGAGGATCTTGAAAACAGATTCTGAAACAAACAGTATCTTTCCTCTGTCACAGCCCACAACAAAAAGAAATCCATCTGCTGCCTAATTAAAAAAAAAAAGTCAAATATTAAGTTACACTTCCTCATTGCAACATTATAACCTTTAAAAACGCTATGTATAGAGTAGAATTTCTACACTAGGAGAGCTGTCTTAACATTTAGAGATAACTGAGTCAACAGGCAAAATGTGAAATTACAATAGGGTTTTTTTTTGCATCTGCAAACATTTTTGGTATCATTCTGGGCATCGTGCCCAGGATGTAAAATAACTTCTAGGAGAAGAAAGAACTCATGTCTTGCCCAATAATATTATGATTATGTTTAATAATGCCTTCAAATTAAAATATTATTTAAACTGTATTTACTCCGTAGTTCCTCTTTTAGAAACCAAACATAACCTGGATATTTATTTCTGTGCCTGTAGGCAACTGATTCCCATTTCCAAAGTACTCTTTTTCAGTCACACACGAGCAGGCAGGAACAGGCCCCAGTTCTACAGCCTTGGAGACACAATGTTGTAGAAATTAATTCTGCATATGCTGATCTGGCCACTGCAGTGCTCCATCAGTTACACAAGCTACAGGAAGAGCTCAGCCACTGACAAGTGAGATATCCTCTGTAAGCCAAGTTTACAGCAAGCAGCCAAACACACTAAGTCATGTTACATCAGTGACCTCAAAAAAAGGGTGTTCCTTGTATCACTGTACACTGAAAATCATGGCAAAGGAGCCCGTGGCAGAAAGTCTGCAGGAACACAGTTTATATAATCTGGGCTCGTTTCATGAAATAACTGAAGATTCTGATGGTTACCATCAAAATATCAGTTTCTTCAAATCTCCCTCTTTAATCTTTCTGTTTAAATTAATGCCAGTCATCGTTAATCTCATTGGCTCTGTGAAGCAGTCTGCAGATTTTTTTAATTATCCTCCATAATCAAAACATTTTTAAGCTGAGATACAAGGCATTAAAATACTGGTGTTGTGCTTTGGGAGAGTCATATTCACAGCCATTAATATCTCTTAATTAAAAGTTGAAACATACCCTGAGAATAAGATGTTTTAATTCATCATCTGATAGAAAAGCAGGCTTATAGTTTGCTTCTGTATATGGGTTTGTAGCACCTAAAGAAAACAAAAACAATTCCCTTACCACCAACTTAACAACACACATTTTAATGAGCACTTTTCCTTTGGCTCCTTTTTAGACTGTTGTTCATTGCAGATGTTCTGTAAAATGAAAATTACTTTTTGGTTTTATTTTACTATCAACGTAAGCTCTGTTGGTATTAACTTAAAAGAGGATGAAGCTTTTTTGCTATAACACAAATACTGCATTATCTAGTAATGCAAATTAAATGCCTTCTGAGACACAAAAGTATTCCTTGACATATTTTTTAACCCAAATCCTGTCCTTGATTTATGGTCTAGTCTCAGAAATTAAAAATAAGAGATTAAAGAATAAAAACATTCAAACTATTTCTTCTCCTTATAACTTAGTAAAACACCACAAGCTCATGTAAACAAACTGTCACTTGGGAACTTACAAATCAGTTCTCTCATTCCACATCAAAGACAAAAACAGCATTACAATGATATCATCTCACAATGCCAAAACCCCAAAATTGGCAACAAATGAGGCAGCTATTTATTGAAGAGTAATTCTTTTCATTCTATTCCCTTCCTAAAGACAAGAGAGAGTCAAATCAGTAACCACTGAAGTGTTATAAAGTATTAACCTAATTAAATGACAGTGGCAGAAAAGTTAAACCTTTCAAAAACATCAGGATAAAGATGGAAGACACCGGCTCTCCTAAAAATGAGAACAGTGGCTCTTTTTTTTTTTTTAGATTAGCTGCATCCATATATTTTCTCAGAGACATATTTCCTGAAGGCTTAAGCTTTCAACATCATCACCAATTGTGCCCAAGCACTGACTCACTCTGATATGAAGCTTTAGGACACACAGAGGTTTGCAGCACCCCCAACTCTTCCAAACCTGCGTGTTTCCCTTCAGGTGCCTGCAATGGAAACTGGTTTCTGAAGACTAAAATTCTGAAGACTGAAACTGAATTTTCAAAGTGCTCTCCAACTCTTTCACACAGAGCTAAAGGTACGAACACAAAACCTTACGAGTCCTGGAGGAATATTGCTTACACCTAAAATCCAGCCTCTCTACCCGACCAGGTTTGCACGTTGCCTGCTTAGAGCTTAGAACCAACTGTGCACTGCCAGCTGCTAAGCCCTTTGTTCCCTCTCCCCACCTTCCTCAGCTGCCTTGGTGCTGTGGGACCTGGTGACAACAATCACTAGGTCAGATGATGGAAAACTATTCTTTCCTCATCCCAAATTTTCCCAGTCAGATCAGGGTATTTACTGGACATGAACTAGTAAGCTATAAATGAACACTCAGCGTCAAGTGCTAAGAAGAGGGGAGACGTCCTCCCAAAACGTACTGACTTGCTCCATTTTGGCAAAAGGGCAAGAAAAGGAGAGGAAAAGCATGGCTTTGGGGAAATCCCATTCTGGATCCTCCTCCTCCAGCCCCAGCCAACTCACCACGTAGTGTTTTCATGTGCTGCACAGCCATTCTCAGCACGGTGAGCTTGTCCAGCTTCCGAGACATCGCATTGCACGTCGGGACCAGCGAGGCCAGCTCGTCTATGAAACTGTTCATTTTATCCCTGCGCCTCTTCTCAATCTGACTGTGAGCCTCCCTGAGCAAGGAAGGTGGTGAAGGAAAAGAGAAAAGCATGAGAAAATAAGGCATATTAAAAAAATGCCCAAATCCAGCATGACAAAACCACAAAAGTGACCTCCTTCTGATGATTGTTACCCTCTTGTCCTTGTGAAAAGGACATCCACATACAGAATTCTTCAGACATTTTATGTCCATGATTTGGGTAATAATAACATAAGCAAGAGGCAAGGCTGCAGCACATGGTTCTAATTTACCAGAAAACACATGTAACTTTGGCCATATGGTACACTGAATCCTCAGAGCTGAACCAATCCACGAAACAGTGCAAAATTATCCAGAGGTTTCTGCTGCTGTGCACCACTTTTATCCTTAGCACATGACACTGAAACATGACTGGCACCCAAAAGGTCAGAGATAAGCAAATTCCAGCGTATATAAATATTGAATAAAACAGCCTTAGATTGCGTTTTAGGAAAAAATGATTCACCAAAAGGGCTGTCAAGCACTGGAACAGGATGCTCAGGGCAATGTTTGAGTCACCGTCTCTGGACATGCAGATGTGGCACTTGGGGACATGGTTCAGTGGGACTTGGCATAGTTGGACTCCATGATCTTAAAGGCCTTTCCAACCTAATTCTATTCTATGATCCATTTCCATCAGGCATTTGTAATCACTGTACTACATGAATGTACTAAGTACTCAAAACTACTTTTTGCTGTGGCAATACAAGTCTTCTACTCATCCTATATATATATATATATATATACTCATCCTTTTTATTTGAAGTATTTGAGATACCTCCGAACCAAACTCTTCCTAATCAGGAAAATTAATTATAAACACTAAACAAATTAATTTTTGGGTTATATTTTCCCACAATAAGAGTCACTGTTAACACTTGCACAACCCACCATCGAGTCTGAAAGAAGCAGGATGAAGAATGTAACATTATCAGAAACATACTGGCTTCAATTTCAACACTAATGAAGTGACTAAAACCAAGTTACCTACCAAATTAGTATTTTCACAAAACTATATGCAAACCTAACGGAAAATGTTAGCAGTGCAGAGATATGGAAAAATAAGGGAAAGTCAAAGTCAGAACAAAAATATTTTCAGGAGAAGAAACACATGAAAATAATTCATATGTGGCAAAAAGCAAGAGATAATTCTTTCTAATATACTTGTTTAGAGCATTACCTTGCATTTTTTATTCTGCCTTGTTGGTCTGCATACTCCAATCTGTTGAGAAACAACATCACAAAGTTACAGCGCTGGAATCACTCAACCCAATTCTTTTAATGCATCTTACATAACTACTCATCCTCATTAAAATCAGTTGTTTAGAATCTGAATATGTATCTAACTTTTCTAGAGAAAGAACAATATTTATAATACTGTGTCTCAAAGTTTGGGGTTTGGGTTTTTTTTTTTTTTTGCTTGTCTGTTTTACTTTGCTCGACAATCTCATGCCTTTATCCCAGCCAAGAAATAATTTGGGACACATGACCACAGTGACACTGAGAACAGGAATCCACAGACAGGATCCTGTGTCAGTACTGTGGAACTAACATTTCAGTGACTGTATCACCAGTACCTTCCATGTTGGTCATCTTTATCTGTATCCATACCTTCCCTGCAGAAACAGAGCAAAGCAACACATCACAAATTCAGCAGGATTAGCAGAACAGTCATCAAACTATCATAAAATTAGAATAAAGTATTGCTGTCATCTTTAAACCATAAATACAAAGATAAGAATACAAAAGCGACAAAGCTGTGTGGTTTTTGTAATATTAAAGCATTTTCTTAAATTAGTTGTGTCTCCTTCAGAACTAACTAAATGGCACAGTTTGATGTGTTTGACAGTAAAACATGCTGCAGTTCAAAGATATCATCTGTTATAAAAATGTTTTCCAGTTAACTGGAGGGGGGGGAAAAAAGGACATATCAAAGCAGTTATTTTTAAGCCTTCATCAGCACTAGCTCTACCACCTTGCATTTACAAGTTGGACCAGAGGCAGTTATCAAGATGCCTTGCATTAAATTCACAAACTGCCCTAAATTGCTTTGTGCTGTGTGTTCTACACCCCATTTTGCCTCATGGTAGCTGGTTTAGTGATAGAAGGTGGTTATAACTTAGACCAACAAACCACTGGAGATGGCCAAATGTGCACGGAGAGAGCGGAAGACTCTGAAACTAAGCAGGCACATTTTAAACTGGTACAACTTTCAGCTTGCTTTTCTTTCAACATGAAAGAAAAAAAAGGAAGGAGGCATGAAGAACAGAAAGGGAATAGAAAGGATCCCCCTTACTACATTTTAATACTGTAACCATATGCACAGAAATAAGCAGGAGAGGAAAGCGTAAGTTTTCCCAGCTGTATTTGGTAAAAAAAGTTGAATGCCTATGACTGCGTGTCTTTGGTTAGACAAAACAAGTAGGAAGAGAATGTTTTGATTTATATAAATCTGTACAACTGTGCTTAAGTGGACTCTCTTAGGCCTGGCTCATTCTGTTTTAATTTTTACCTGCGAATTTTAAGTAAGTGGAAGGGAAAGGTAAGGAAAAACGCTGAGCATCTTTTTCCAGTGAAACCAATTACTAAAATATTTATACTTACTCAAAAGGAAAGCCATCGAGTCTGAAAAGAAAGAAAAATAGAGTACACCATACATAGGAAATAAGAATAATGTCTTACATTTTCTGCTGAAATGCTCAAGCTAATAATTCATACTCTATTTGAAATGAAAAGCACAACAAAAACAGGACAATAGCAGTGAGCGGTATTCTAAAGAAACGAGCTTGCTCAAATCAATCTACTTCCTGAAAGAATAATTCTGCTATTTAAGAAAAGATAGCATAGTTGATGACACTTAATGTGGAAAAACTAGTAAAACAACTAACCTAAATTATGTAATGCAAATCATTGAGATATTGTTTCATCTTCAGAAAGGAAAGATCTGTGCTTTATGCGTGTTGTCCTTGTGGTTAGATAAATGGGATTTCAGAGGACTCTAAGGCCAGAAATAAAACATAAAAATAAAAATAAAGTATCCCAAGTTTCTCACTTTTTGATGATTCTTGTCCAGCAGGACAGATGCACATTTTGCTTCAGTCAGTACTGAAGTCCCAAGCCTGAACTTTACACAGACTTTATCGTATCATAGGGAGATCAAACAGAATTTCTACATGCACACTAACTGCTGGCATCACTTCAAGTCTGTAAAGTGACCTGAAATACCACTGAGCTTTACCATGATAAGAGGCTATGTTTTATAAAAGCCTTATGAAAAAGTCTTCTCATTTCAGCCACTAACACACTAGTTATTCTTATTCAACAGTGGACATAAGCCTTCTTAAAAAGAAACACGGTAGTGTTTCATATATTATTCACTGCACTCTTAGATCAGTTATATTTGTGATTAGCTTTAAAAAGAAGTTTGAATAATGCTCAATGTTTTTTCTTCATGTCTCCATCTGCACCCCTGAGTTACTGTGTGAGCCACTGGCTCAAAGCACTCAATTAAACTAAATTAAACAGCACTTGTGATACCCCCTTGAGCTTCAGGATGCTTCTTGTAACAAAATTCATTTTAGCCTTAAAAAAAACCCCAGAAAGCAAAATCTAAAAGAGGCACAAGGTAAGTTACAAATGCATCAGGATAGTGTGTTTTCCTATCATATATTATTTCAGTTGAAAACATTAGTCCCATGAAAAAAAAATGAACTGTTTGTAGACCTGTGCATGAGGTCTTGGATTGTAGCATTTGACTGAAACAGAACACAGTGGAGAACAGCCTTTGCTGAAGTGACAGCAATAGGCTGGGCAGGAATTTTCCTGGAGGAGTTGCAGGAGAGAGAATTAAAAGAGAGCTGAAAGTGCAGCTGATCAATACATTTGCTTGTACCTGAGAGGTGAACAAAGAACCACACTAAAACAGTTGGGTTCTGCTTTCTTTACTCTCTGGCTTCACTGGTACGTTGGGAAAATTTATTTAAAAATAAATTGTTAACAGGCAGCAAAAGCTGAACAGTAGCATTTCTGAGCATTTATCCATCCATCCATCCATATACCAAGAGGTATCAAGGTAATCTACTTTAAGTTCTACTTCAAAAAAGGAACATTTACCGGCCACCATTTCCTTTTCAACACAACATGAACTGTGGTATGACTACAGCTGTTGTAAACTTACTTCACTGAGGATTCAAGGAAACAGTGTTTTCACATATTTAAAAAAAAAAAAAAGCACACAAAACCTGAAGGGCAGAATTATAACTTACAAGAGCAAGCTGTCTTTTGGAAAAGAGGACTTGAGCAATGCTTCCTACCCAGAGGAATAAAGATGGAGAAATCCTTTCTCCAGAGAAGAGGAAGTTGGTAAGATCGAGGCTGTTCACTGAATTTTGTAGTGGTCAATTAAACTGGAGGGACTCATGTACTTTTCGAGAAGACTAAAGGCACGTTAGAGAAGGTACATATGCAGTGTGTTTGTGGTCTTTAAAAAGTGCATAAAGTTTTGTGCATAAGGTCTCCTAAAGAGAAGTCCTACACACAAGGAATCTAATTCTTAATTGTCATGCTTGGCATGAATTAAAAATTCTGCCCCTCTGTGTAAAAAGAACTGCCAACACTCCAAAGCCCACAGTGATAAAATTTGTGCTGAGTTACATAAAACCAGACTCTGTGGCCATATGAATAATGGATATGTCCATTCCCAAGCTACCCTGCAGCCAGGCTTTGTTAAGTTACAACACACAGGAGGTTTGCACAGTGATTTGGAGTAAGTAGGTTGGTTTTGGTGTTCCTAGCGCAGGAGATATTGCACACTTGGAAATCTGGCAAACTCTACTACAAACCTTCACTACCTAAAGCAGAGTTGGCAGCATTTCTTTTTATGTCAAACACCTGCCCCAGGAGAGAAGCTATGGCTTGGAGAGTGCTTCTGAGCACTGTTATTAGCAAGCTTCCCTTAATGAGAAAGCAGCTTTCTTGAAATAAAGCCACATTCTACCACTGACTGAGAAGAAATCAGGTTTTTATTGTGTCAGGATTAATAGTCGAGAACCAACACAAGATTAAACCAGTTGATTCAATGAAAGGCAGCTCTAATGCCTTAAACCAGAGACTATTCAGATTCATATTTGACTGAGGGACCAAAATAGTTTCATCAGGCAAAGGCTGGCAGCACACTGATAGGAAGTGACTAAATAGGCAAAAAATAGGTGAAGAAAAGGAACAAGTCCTAGTTTTGCTTCTGCTTTTCAATAAATTTATTACCTTCCCCTTCCACTAGTCAGACATTTTTTTCCTATGTCAATGGTCAGTATAATCAACCTTCACACTGTACTTTTCATCAGCACTAATTCCACCCCCCCATCAGCCAAGAGCTTTTCTCCTCAGCCTTACCCCATCTGATAGCCCTCCATTCCAGCTGCACTGAGATGACAGCTTTATTTTAATTATTAAATATTGAACTGTCCTCTTAGCGCATAGCAGCTTTTTTCTTTATTGAAACCTTTAAGGCAGGTTGTCAAGAAAAGGTTATTTAAAAATTGCTATAAATATTACTATAGCCTCCCACACTGTATTGTTGTGTTACCACCTCTTTTTAGCAGAGCTAAATCAAGAGAAATCCACTTACTGATAATCAGTAGAGCTTCCCTTTCTTTTCCTGTTACAATCCATTCCTGAAGTGCTAAGGGAACTGGAGATCAAGTCAGCAGGGTCTGGTGACATAAAGTCACTAATTGTAGAAGATATGTCCATCCTTTGGTCTGCCATTGGACTGTCTAACATTAGGGAAAAAAAAAACAAAACACAAGAAACCCACCAACCAAAAAACCACTGCATTAATATAGGCAGAAACTCACATTTTTAATCAAAAAAAAGTTCTCTCAAACTTAGCATTCTTAAAAACTGAGAAAATCACAGTTTCTATTATTTCCTTTTGCCATAAAACAGGTAATAGGCAATTTCTCCTTTTCCATATACCAGTGTATTGAATATTGCACACAAATCATGACCATTCTCAAAACATGTCACTCCACACAATTGTTTTTAAAGAACTGTCAGCGTGATCTTTAACCAAGCCAGGTTTACTCTTATTTTAACTGGTCAGCCAATTATTTCTACCTAACAGAAATATTGCTGACTGGGAACACTAGTTTTAGTGTGTCTCTCCATTTGAAGACCATATTATCAAAGTTCACAAGCTTTAAAAGTTATAATTCCACTGAATTTTGTGGAACAGAATTTAGATTTCCATAGAAATCAAACACCTCCATCACAGTAGATCCCACAAATAAAATTCCTAATAACCCAATGACAGTCTAAGAAGACTAGTTAAAAGTGCAAATTAATCTAATTGGCTCTTTTATCCAAAACATAGACTTTTTAAATCCTCTAGACTGCAAATAACTATATTGTTGGAAGAAACCCCTGTGAAAAGTTCATTTCTAAATAGCATCAACTGTGAAACAGAACAGTTTTTACCTGAAGGCCTGTCTTGGAAGCCTAGATCCACTTGAACAAAGATGATGATGCTCAGCCCAAAGCAGCTGATCACCTTAGAACTCTTCCATGCCTCATATTCTGTTGGTCAAATACTCTCAAAAACCTGAATGGGAGGAAAACCAACAAGCTTAAAAACCACCTTCAAAACAAGCTTGTTTAGAACAAATGTTTTAGACACAGTTTACAACAGCAACACATGTTTCCCACTCAAGGATAAAATATTCATTTCCTTATAAAATGTGGAAGCTTTATCCATCCAGCAAGAGGGTTAGATGCTGGGATGTGTGTCTCCAACGGACCAAGCTGTGGAACAAAAGGAATCTCTTCAGCATCACTTCCATTTGGGCCCTGCTTATCATTCTTTGGTCTTTGCATAAACCCCCTCTGCTCATGATCAACGATCACACGCTCACAGTCACGAACACATCTGTTGTCAGATGATGCCAGAACAACTTAAACTGCTCTCACAGTGCAAAAGAAAGACTTATCCCTTCCCTCTGACTGCCTTATTTTAAGGTGGTCAAAGCAGTAAGACAGTTTGGGCTTGACTTACCGTTTTGTTTTCCACTGTAACAGCAGTTGGCATTTTTGAAGGACAGGGGTTAAGTACTGTTCTATTCTGCAAGCTTCAAGTTTTGCATAAAATCCACAGCCCATACTACAACTCAAGTCCTTAAATGTGTTTCCCAGCTATACTGTAAACCTAGTGGTTGGGCTGCAGGTGGTTGCCCTTCGTTTCCAGATTGCTATCACAAAACAAGTTTTTCAGCAAAACTTACTATGGAAGACTTAAAAACTGTTCTACACCTTCCTCCTGCAAAAAAACTTTGCAGGTCTATTGAGTACATTGTTTTCTGGTTAATGCACCTGTGAACATCCTGACTGCCCTTCCAACCTGTGACAACAGTAGAACTTCCCAATTACACAGAACAAGCAGCTCCCACGACACTCTCAGAAGCTCACAAGTCAAACAACCAGTGTTCTGTCAACATGACCAAATTATAACCAATTTTACTCAATCACACATAGAGACAGGTTACGAGTTATAAGCCAACAGAAACCTCACAAAATCCAAAATCATGTGGTGTCATTTTCTCCAGTGCTGCCAGAATAGCAAATTCAGACATTCACAAGTATAAATTATCTAATTCACTGGTCCTGTTATGGTAATAAGTCAGGATTGCAGCTCTTCAGTCTAAGGTCAGGCAAGTCATTGCCTTCATACCACCAACTTCTGAACAGGATCACTGTTGTTCTAGAAGCAGAGCTTCCAAACTCTCCTGGGGGCACATCATCCATCTCACCCAACAACTTCTCTGTGGTCCTTTCCCAAACAACCTCCTTTTCCATTTTTGAGAATGCCTAGGCATGTTGGTTCATGCATGTTAAGAGGCCAAAGCAGAAGATCACTGACGAAAGCCAAATCAGTACAAATTTAAGTCAAATCATAAACTGCCATTGAATCCATAATCACACTTGCTTTACAAGGCTTTCTTTCACACTCATACTGTTACTTGTAGACCAGGCCCTGCTTTCTCCCCATGTCAGCCTTTCCTTGTCTGTTTTGTTCCCCTTACCCAAAGCAGCCCAACAGCTTTAGACACGATTATGTTACTGTGGGGTATGAGATTACTGCATCTTGCTTTACCAGTTAAACCACAGTCACTGGCCATTTCTCTGTGCCTGGTTTAGACCCAAAAACATTATCTCCAGCCTCACTTGATGTGCAGAAATTAGTTATAGCTAAACTCAGTGTGGCCCCTGGCTAAGCCCTGTGAATCCAGTGGTAAGAGCACTGCCACAGCAAACAACTTATGATTCCCTCTTGGAACCTGACACAAACCCCAAGCACTGCACAATGCTAGAAACAAGTACTTCCTGAAATTTCTGACCCAACCACCCACAATTAACTTTCACAAGTTTCTGAACACCTCTATATGTGAGATAACCTGTTGAACTCACATTTTACTGCTTTATATTTCATGGACCACCCAGACAAAAGGTTGGGATGAGCTGAAATTACCAAATTAAAAAAGGAGGGGGGAGGATTTGTAAGTTTAACACAGTCTTTTCCCTTTAAGACTGCCTGCAACAGTCAGCATTTTAGCTTCATAATCAGAACACTGCACAAGTCACTGTGCATTTTTAGCAGTAATGCTAAAAAAAAAAATTGTTGTTCATCTCAAACAAAAATTTCAAATCAGTTTTATAGAAAAGAAAGATCTTGAAATTAAGTATCCATTCAACTGTGCCGCTATTTTAAACTATAACTGTCTATTTTGATAGTTTCAAAGCAGCTATTTTAAGTCTTGACCATTTAAGAAAAAAAAACAAAAACCCACACATAAAAAGCAGAATTCTCAATTTGTTTTCCAGTCAGTCCTTTCTCTACCATGTCCCAAGTGCTCATCCCAGTTCTAACAATCACAGTCCTATATTTCAGCATTATAAGAGCTAAGAACAATGCATGTCTCTTGAAATGAGGTTTCAAGTTAAGAAAATGTCAACCCAATGATCAGAGCAAAAATCAGCATGCCCCACTAAATAGTGAACAGTTCAGAGAAGTGTTTTGTTGCAAGGCTCTCTTAAAATTCTGAAAAATTGAATATTTTACTGTCTTTTCAGCCTCCAGCTGCTTGATGTTCAATGGCTAAAAAAAACTCTCTATGAGAAGGAATGCAAAAGTTACCCATATCTATATAAGCAAAGTTCAAATCTTCCATTTATGATGCCAAGCCTGTTGCCAAAGTACTCCAGAGACCTACTTGAAAAATTGCCATGTAGTCCACTTCCTGATTAAATTCTTCTGTAGATGAGAATCAAACGATATTTTGCCATTGTATCTCATGACAGTTTCTCTCTACAGCCTGTTTGGGACTCTACTTCCTTCGGGATTCCCCTTCCTTGCATTCCATCTTTCTCCAATCTCCTGCAACAAGGCTAATGAGACAGTAAAAAGAAATCTTACTGTTCATCCCTCATTAAAAAAAAAAAAGTTAGATAACACGTGACCAGCTTAATCATGCAGCAAAGCTGATCACGAGTACATAAACACCTCTGAGCAAATCAAGGTCAGAGCTAAAGTAGGTCAACTACATGTGCCAAGCACCCACCCGGGAGTCAAGACCTCTTTCCACAAGGCCCATCAGTTTTGGTTCCCCCCAGGCAAGAGTTATTTATCTCCAATATATTCTTGTACGAGAGATGCAATTCATAACTTCATGAATCAGAAATGTCTCACACTTAAAAAGCACCATTTCGCAACGGCAGAGGAAAGCCGTGGTGTGGTTTCCTGAAGAAGCAATTGAGAAGATACTCATTGTCCCTGCGTGTAAGGACTGAAGCAAAAACAGCTACGGAGAGGAAATCATCAACTTCCCTTCACAGCAGCATTCCATTGCTGGAGTTCACTGTCACAGCACAGACTAGTACTAAACTGGTTATTTATCTTCACTAACAGCACTTCAAGAGGTGCTGCAGAAGTCTGGAGGCTCCAGGTGCTCACGGACTCAATAATGGGGGAGATTTCGGCTGCAAGAGTCACTGTGATGATTTCAAGATGCAGACAGACATACGTGGGCATGGCTGCTGCAAGTAACAAGCAGTTCCTACATCAGAATCTTTATTATGGAATACTCCCTTGGAATCATTGGAAGATCTTTGAACCAAAGCAGTGGTATTTTCCTTTTCCTTCAGTACTTAAGGAGCAGCTGTCAGAATACTTCGTGTTTTCCAAATACATTGATACTGCTTTGTTTTAATGGCACATTTATGTCCCTTGAGCTCCCCAATACTATTTGCAAGAACACTCTGTACTCCCAGAAGACAAAAAGCCCAGTGGCTTCCTCTCACACGCAGATACATCTCACCTCACTCTCTGGGGCAAAGAAGTGATTTTACCCTGGTTTGTTTGTTGAGGTCACCCTTTTACCACTCACTCATCAGCATGTTCACCAGCCCCTGGCACCCTGTGATCCACATCTGAGCTCTGGAACTCCTCCTGACATCAGTAGCTCATGTTTCGACCCCACCACACACACAGAGCAGCGATGCAAAACCCTCCTGCAGCTCCCCCAGCCCCTCACAAGAGGAATACCCTGCTCTGGGGAAGGCAGAGACTGCTCAAACCACTCTGTCTTCCAACAGCTGCTCTCCATGTTTCCTAAGGAAAAAGTAGCAGGCTGGAGGGAAGAAGCCCGTGAATTTAAACGAGCCACAAAGCTACAAGATAAACAATTTTGACATAAGGGGAAAAAAGTCTCCAAGGAACAGAAGATAAACTCCACATGCACTCTCTCAATAGATCAATATACAGTCCATGTGCTCCCCCACACTGAAAACGCCTGTTCATCAGCAGTGTCTCTGAGAAAAGATGGAACAGGCCATCTCATGGCATCACCTCACAGTTTTCCAGACTGTCAGAGTGGCAATGGAGCCACAGGACAATATGCTGCATTTTATCTCGTTCTCAGAACACTGAGAATTCCAGATCAAGAGGGGCCTCAGTTCCTGTATCTCCTTGTTTATAAGGGAAAGTACCTAAAACTTTTACTTCCAGCTATTTTAACGAAGGACTTCTCTGTTGTCTCAAAACCAAGGATAAGTGGTAACTAAAACAACCTTCTCTTGCACTGGGGAGCTCAGAACTAGACCCAGAACACAGAAGTGTCTCAGCAGTGCCCAGTAAATGGGAAGGATCACTCCCCTCAGCCTGCTGGCAACATGATTCCTAAAGCAATCCAGGAGGCTGTTGGCCTTCTTTGCTGCAAAGGCATCACTGCCAGCTCATGAACCACCAAGATCTTTTCTGCCAAGCTGTTTTCCAGCTGGTCAGTCCCTAACCTGTACTGGGACATGGGGCTTTTCCTCGCTAGGTGCAGGACTTGACATTTCCCTTTGTTAACTTCTTAAGGTTCTTTATAAGGTTCCTGGTGACTCTTTCCTCCGGCCTGTAGAGATCCCCCTGGTTGGTAGCACGCTCATGAGGTGTATTAGTCATTCCTCCCTGGAGCTGGATTGTCTGCACCTCTAAGTATGGAGTTTCAGACAGCATGGAAGGAAAGGAAAACAGAATGTTTCTTAAAAGAGAACTTAACAGATTTAACAACCTTCAAAAATCCCAGCTCATGCTCAGATAAATGTGTCCTTCAAGGCTGATCCAGTCCCACGGGAAGGCCTCATGGATGGAGATACGGACCATCTTCACAGCAGGAGCTGAAAACTGGAACAAATCCAAAGCCAACTCATGTCACTTCCAGGAATCAAACCTGTCTGTGCCATGGATGAAGCATTTCCCTCCCTGGCAGGGGACTGGTGCTTACTCCTGGTGGTACAGCTAAAGGTCTAACACACAATGCTACGGAACAGCCACCACATCTGGAGGCTGAGCCTTCGTAAGAACCAGCATCCTGACTGCCCAGCTGACCCTCAGACACAGGGGATTCCATTTCCTCTCACATCTCAAGGCTGTTTGCCTCTGCACCTACGCAGTGAATCCCAGCTGCAAGAGTGTTTCCACAAAGCTTGCTAGTTTGCAACCATTACTGAAAGCTTGATCTGCTGTAAGCTTCTCGTCAGCCAAGATTAGACTCTTTGAGCTCTCGTTCTTTGAAGTGAGCTTATGTTGGCCTGTTCACATATTTCATTTTGGGCAGCCATCAAAAGGAAACATCACAAGGGAACTAATCAAGCCCTTGTGAAGAGGTGGTGATGCACACACTTGGAAATCAGTGCTAACATGTTGCTGTAACCAAAGGAATTTGGCCTGCTTCAATGATCAATCCGCCAGTACACGCACTCCTCAGGTTTCAAGAAACTGCTTCCACAGGGAAAACAAAAAGGGACCTGCCTTTCTTGGAAGACCAGGTTTGAAGGGATTTCTGAAATTTCTACACATAAAGCAAACTGTAGGCCCTCTACAGGCTTCTGGGAGTAACAAATACTAGTCCTCACAGCACAGATACTGGGTACAACTGTACTGGTGCTGAAGGAATTCCTAAGCTCAGCCACAGTGGACAGAGTAAGATTAACCAGCGCTTCAGACGTCTCTGCTTGGAGCAGGAACCACTGAGTTCTCCTCAGAGCTCTGCAAACATTTCACTGGGTGCCATGTGACATTTTATAGACACGCTGAGAACACCACAGGTATTCTAGGAACACATGTTGATATTTAATCTCAAATGTCAGGATGGATACATCATGGAGGGCTGTCACGCAACCTGCGTAAGGCAACAGCCGAGCTCCTGCGAAGAGTAAGGAAAACTACACCAAGAATTACACCCAGGTATGACTATCAAAGATCCACTCTCAGTCAGAACACTCCTTCATGCCTCTGGATGTCTTATTTCAACAGGTCCTATTATCAAAAACATCCAGACTGATTTTATTGGAAACAGATACGACCAAAATGGAATAAAAATCAGTTACTCTGAGAACAGCTGCTTGTAGGAAAAGAACTGAGTTCAACTTCAGAAGTGTTTTAATTATTTAAAAAACCCAACAAGCCCAAACCAACATATTTTAAGAAAATGCTTCAGAAATACTGTTCAGTACAGCACCCCAGAATTTCTGTAATATGTTTTATCTATATCTATATAAATAGATCTATAAATATAAATATCTCTCTCTATAAAATTACATTTTACATTAAAATTACATTACATTTTACATTAAAAATGTAAAAATTACATTTTAATTAAAAACAGGGTCCACTGATGTTAAATGCTGGTAAAGTAAGTTCATAACATCTACGTTAGGGTGTTGTATTTAATTCTCATTTATTCCAATCCTTCAGAAGATTTTGTGTATGTGTGGGAAGAAACAAGGTATTATGGGGAAGATGAGAAGACTTAAAATTTACAGACAACAGAAATTTTAAGTCTTTTGGGCCAGTTATCTAATTCAACTCATTTAACATCAAAATCAATTGTTCTTTTAGTAATGACAGACCCACAGCTAAAATAAAAACAAAACAAAACAAAACAAAAAACAAAACCAAACACAACAAATGAAGTCTCCTCCCTCAATTACTGAAATACAAACTTAGCTGAAGTTTTGAGTTTCCAAGCCAGGTCCAGCCTCCAATACATGAAGGACATACTGTTTCACAACCACTGAACGCAATCCTTGCTCATCAACCTTATGACATCCCCAAGGGTTTTGGAAGGGGGTGGGAGGCTGGGGGTGTGTGAAAGACAGAGGGAAATCTCTCCTACCATGCAAGTAAATCAATTATCCAGCATTAATGGGCTTCAAAGTAAAACCCTAATCAAAGTTATTGTTGATTTCTTCAGTAGCTCACGTACTTCCAGCGTGCTTTGATCGGAAACACACACCCAAACCCAAAAAACAACAAAACCTTCTCAGTTGAGGAGCCAGTGGTTCTGTGAAGTCTCCCAAGTTGTACACATTACTTCTGATCTGTCAACAAAATGTCTTATCTTGTGCTGCACTGTAAAGTCACCTTCAAAGGCAGAATTTTTACAAGATTAGAAATTTCTGCGTAAGAGGACTGTACACAACTTGGACTGACGTTTCTGGAGCAGGAGAAGCACACAAGATAACAAGTAGGTAAGCTCTTTAACTCACTCCTCATGTCACACCAACAGTGGGAAGTTAAAAATCAGCACATCTGGAACTCACAGCTGGGAATGCCCACTTTTTGCACTTGCAGTCCAAAACATGCAGTTTTCTGTTTCCAGATTTCATCCGACTCCTAAATATGAGCACCAGTTTCTAGCAGACAGATACTTCAGATACAAGTTTTAAAGATATCCTAACCCTTCAGTTACCCAAAATGAATAAGTACGTTTCACGCAGTTAAATATCTAAAGCTGATGAATAAATGTCCCAAAGCCCAACTGTTCATTGTAAGTATAACTGTGATATGATCTGGGCACTTTAACTTCCTTACTACAGTTCAGTGAAGCTCCTACATCCTCACTTCCTGTGGTTCATAATCTCCAAAGTTGTCTTTCAATGGCAGGAAGGCAAAATCCTCTCAG